TCTTCGTCAATCAAACATGGACAATAATGGAAAATTATCTTGCAACTTCTTCCTAAATAATAATAAAACTAAACTGTTTAGAGATGGCTTGAGGATGTGTCGATTTCTGACTCTCGTGGATCAGAGCGATTTCTTCCGGCTCCACCTCGATAAACAGAGATAGATCAAATTTCACTGAACACGGCAAGACGTCATCTGGATATTGACGTAACTATAAACGTGCGTCATGTAATTCATTACATTACTTGAGATTAAGTAACGGTGGCGCTTAATTTCATCTTTTCTCGAGTACACGTTAGATTTACCGTAAATGTAACTCTCACGTTTGGTTTTTGTCCAATGTCCAGTATGAAATCTCTCTATACCCAAAGTATGTATATATCTATATATTTGACGGATTTTTCGTCTACTATTATGGCCTTCCGTTCTTCTAGCGGACCTTTAGGCAGACACTTAGATCATATAATACCCAGGAATATATTTCAGCATTAATTCACATTATCAATACCACGCAATAAGAAACAGAGGCCGAGATGTTCGTGTCTAAGGCCTTCTAGAATTAGAAGTCATTACCTGCTAAAGGGGTCCCAATCATCACCGCGACTTCAATAATCTAACCCACTGAACTGATTTTGTTTTAAGTTTCGAGATGCCTTTAAGCAAATTCCTGCAGATACATATCGAAAATGATCATTGGCATTGTTTGAAATTTTTTAATGTTCAGACTTTTAAGTTTCGTTTTGTGATCCTTTTACGCACAATTCCAGTACGGAGACTCCCGAGAATGTACTGGAAGAACAAGACCATGTGTTCTGGGAGAGTAAGCGTCTTCTGCTTCATCGACGACATCAACAATATAAATCCTGGTCAATCCCGATAAGTAATGTCACGTTCCCAAATGAGCACATGATATGCAACAACGGAAACAACAGGCAAACCAACGAGCATTAAACTCCTCTAGCTTCATATCACACAAAGAAATAGCACATTTCTCACTATGACGACAGTTAATCTTTTTCATAATCTTCATCACCTGCATCTCTCGAAACTCTGAAGTACAAATTGTCTTCTCTTGCTGTCTTGCCTATGGGTGGTTCGATTTATTAGTTTTAAAAACAATTGTCTAGTACATCAGTAAGAAACAACAACAAAAAATAAAATTCGAAGCACAGACATTTTTTTTTTTTTTTTTTTTGGCATCACATCGAATTTTTTTTTTTAATGAAGACATCAATAAGAATTATTGATCTGTATGCGGGCAATCGAAATGTAAGAATACGAAGCAAGATATTAACGGTCAAAAACTCACTTGTGTCGAAGTTTAAAAATCATTGTCAAATATATATAGTAAACATTAAAAATGATTAGTCAGAATCAATAACATTGACGGATATGTAAAGTAACCGAAGAAAATGTGAAATGATCAACGTTTTATTTAAGGAACCTATTTAGCTAGGACTAGTGAATGAGGATTCGAACACTTGACCCTTTCATCTTTCATAAAACAGGGAGTTTAACTACTGCGCTACCACAAGTAACGTTCATAGCGAATGCTAAGGTCGTTAATTTCATTATAGAACACGTATTTTTAATCGAAAATCTCAGCGAATCCATGTTTAAGTGTAAGCATGAAGGTCAAAGAAAAGACAACACAAATCGTTGAGATCATGTGTTTATACACTACGTTAGATGTAACCAATACATACGTACTTACACTACTTATTTCAACATACAATTCACTGTCACAAGAAATTCAATCATGCATAGTCTGTTAAGTGAAAGGTATACATGTTGTTTAGTGGCATTATAATTTATTTCAATATTTTTGAATGAACCAGTTAGTCGTTTTGGTTTTAAAAGTGATAAAATATTATATAAACAGATGGACAAAGTAACACCTGACTCACGCCTGTTACGTGTATTTTTCATTAATATCTATACGATAAAATTGATGCCAGAAGTTTATTACATATCTGTGTCTACTGTGCCAATGGAGTCATGTGTTTATTGGTGTTGCTTGCATATCTCCCATCGCGAAATTCGTCGGAGAGGAAGACATGGAATGTCTCCAAGTGCAATCGCAGCACCAGCCAGGTAGAACACTGAACTTGAGTCGTCGGACAGGTCAGAGAGGAAACCTACAACATACATGGTTTAACAGCATAAACTACAAACATCAACCTTCCTTGTCTTTGATGATGTACCGGTGTTAAAAAATTTGCTTTTCATGAACCTGAAATTATGAAAAATTATCAAGCTTTCATGCTTAATATGTATCATGTCAAATACTATTAAAAGTTTTATTGGAAAAGGATCAAAAGAACACATTGTATCGCACAATCATCAATATACAGGCATGCACATTGATTAGACTGATATCATATTGCTAGCAGAGACAGTTGATAAAGGCACTGGATGTCAACTGGATTTGTCTTTGTCACAAGTACTTCACGGTCTTTTGAAATCAATCAGACATGTGAGAATTGTCACAATTATGAATCTATGGTGCAAGAGCATCTCCTATTCAGATACTGTCATTTCTTCCGATCAATTTTGAGTTTTTTTCGTCGCCTCAAAAGTTTCAAAATTGAGGCATTAAGCTTCACTGATATGCCCTAAACAGATTGGAAAGCAACATTTTGCAGTTGAATCATTTAATTGGGTCTTTGTAATGAGAGATAATATTCGCTTGTGTGTTTTGTGTTATTATGTTCAATTCATCTGTTTACTTTTCCATTTTTTAACAGGACGTATGCAACCTAATTGCTTTTCACTAAACAAGGGGACGAAACTCTTTTTGTGTAAGGAACGGACCTAATCAGCATTTCTTCCAACAAAAGAAACCTGGTAGATATGCATTATATTTAAATGTGTTTACCAGTTATTACTTGCTATAGGTGATCCAAGCAAGGCAGAAATCCCACAGAACATACGGAGTAAACCATATGATGCCGGGAGTTCTGGAATTTCCTTAAATTCTATCAAAATTATCGACTTCAACGAAACATATGATCCTACAAACAAATAAAATATGTCTAACGGCCATCATCAGGTTATCAGGTTCAACCACCAAAACGTCAGTCGGAAACTGCAGGAATATTACATTATTTCAATACAAACGTACTGTTTACAGTGTGTCTTCACAAGTAATTTCATATCAATTTCAGCTTTGCTTGATATTTTTAGTAATTGCATTTTCTGCCATAATTATCGATAAATTCCAAACATTACTGTAACTGGCCAGCTGACATTTGAATCAGTTTGGTTGTCGTATAACAGAAAATCTTGGTCGCAGTATGTTGGTGATTGGCAAGCTTTGTTGGCTTTTAAAACCGTAACAGGAATGATGCTGGGAAAGGATGACCAAGACACTCCAAAGAACCCGATTTTTTTCGGATTCGTATTTTATAATTTCCTTTTTTACCTGATAACAACATAATTTGAAACCGTCTCTGTAATTATTTAAGCATACCAACTTGCATGCAAAATATTTATCGTCCAGTTGAACTTTTCTTTTGCGTTTTTTTAAAAAAATGTTTTCGCTGAGGTTTGATCGGTTCATTCGCATTATTATCAAATACTCAGAACTTGCTCATATCTGCTGGCCGTTCTATGTAACAAAAGTGGACTTAAAACTATTTTTTTTCTGAATCTGCACATCAACAAAAAAGACAAAGCTTGTTGAGATCTATAGTGGTATGACATCCCTCCTCCTCCGAAAAAAAAAATAAATAAATAAAACTTTTATCACCGCCCATTTTTATTCTGTATATTGTGTAATATCTTTAGATTGTAATGAAGCCATCCTTATTATCAACATCTTAAGATAAAGTCACAGGATTTGTTGTGAATATTTGAGATCCTCTCTGTTTCCGATGTCACGACATATATAACATTTCATGTAACCAACTTCATATATTTTTTTTGTTTAAACATATTTTATTGCCAAAAAAAACACGAGACAAATGGATTGGGCACAAGTTATATCAACATTATCCACGCCCTCTCCAATCAATATACATATAAATGTTAAGACAATGGCATACAACAACAATTTAATGAGGTATGATATACATGTAACAATTAATATATCATTATAATTTTATACATCTAACGTTCTATCAAGGAAAAAAATTATCAAATATTATCTTTCAGATGTCTTTAAATCAAAAACTTAATCATTAAGATAGACATTTTATCCATATTTCAAACGCTCAGATGACCCTTCTGTCACGTTATAACAAACTTAACCTTATGATTATAATATGTACCGAGGTAAAGCAAAAGCTACCAACTTATACAAACCTACACGACACAGCATCGAAAACCACTGAACGACTTGACAACAGTGAAATTCCAAACATTTGACGTAGGGAAGGACATATCGAGTTCTTCCGAACAATCGGAGCACTTCCCTGTAATTCTGTATTCCATTGCAGTGTCCTTTTTTCGCATTTCAATAGGTTTCTATATTGCAGCGAATACAACTTTATTCAAAACGATGGCTGAGATGATCCCCCCGCCCCCCGCTCCCTTATGCCTTACTCTCCTGTTGTGTCCCACTCTCCTGTAATGTCTTCCCTACCTCTTGTGCCTTACTCTCCTGTAGTGTCCCACTATCCTGTAGTGTCCCACTCTCCTGTTGTGTCCCACTCTCCTGTAATGTCTTCCCCACCTCTTGTGCCTTACTCTCCTGTAGTGTCCCCCTACCTCTTGTGCTTTCCTCTCCTGTTGTGTCCCACTCTCCTGTTGTGTCCCACTCTCCTGTAATGTCTTCCCCACCTCTTGTGCATCCCACTCTCCTGTGGTGTCTCCTCTGCCTGTTGTGTCCCACTCTCCTGTAGTGTCCCACTCTCCTGTAGTGTCCCACTCTCCTGTTGTCTCACCCTCTTGTGTCTTCTGTCCGTGACAGAGATTCTTTAAGGAAATCAAGGTATCATATTTCTCCAACAATTAAACATATATCTTTACTAGGCCAAAAAATAACAGAAAACTGCAGATTTCTGAACATTTTCAATTTAATTTCCAACAAGCATGACATATATTTCATCAACATTTCTTTATATAAAAATATAGGATTTCTGAATAATTGTCAAACCACTCAAGGACTGAAATATGAATGGTTATAATGAGCCTAAAATCACGATTCATTACCATTAATTGGAAGGTATTATTTAAAAGTGACATTTCTTATAGAAACAATCTCTGATACCTGGGAAGTCCTACATTTTACAGAAGAGAATCATTGTCAAGATAATTAATAGAAATCATTTCCAACATTTTGATAATCAAAATAAATCAATAGCATTGCAATATACATTATCAAGTACTAATCTTAACAATTTCTTTAAGCAAAACCTGGTCTGGTGTTCCCTTCCAGATCTCACTAAGACAATTTGTTACCAGAAAATTTGTTTGATTATATACTAAGATAAAGTTGTCAGCTCACACAGACATGTCTTCTAATGTCCTGTTTTGTGTTGTTGGGATAATAAACCTAGCTCCCTCCTTCACTTCCAATATATTTTATTCTTCCCAAAAGGCCCAGATAAATATGACAACACAGTGAACAATATGACCATGAGTCTAGGAGTGAATGAATGAATTGTTGCTTTAAGCATTTATGTTAACACTTATGACATATGCTGATGGTATAATTAGTGAAATATTATCATCTTTCTTCTCACTTTGTGTTGTACATTGTTTCTAACTGAACTGTATCAATATAATAATATACACAAATATTATAATAAAACACACACAAACAACTACATTGTATATATTGACAGTATGTAACAAAAAATCAGTGATTTTTGTAGGCAATTTTTTTTTTCCAATATTTTGATTCATTGATACTCAAAATCCAAGATTTTTATGTCCACAATCAATAAACAGCTGAAAGTCAATATGATATATAATTCTTTAATATTGTATTTTTTGAAATCCACAAAATTATAGCCTCAGAAAATATATTTTAAGTTGTGAACCTTAGTCCATCCTCAAATTTCTAGGAGTTACGATCACTTTCACTCTCTGCACCCCTGGAACATGTCACGGCAAATCTGAAGACACAATTTAAGTAATTTGATTGGTTCCAGCAGTAAAAATCTGACCAATCACAGGCTGATGCACTTCCTTTGAAGATTAATGAGTAGTGACATCCAGCTTCAAAGCCATTACAATATACTGTTATGCAACCTCAAGATTTGTTTCATGTACATCAAAGGATCAAACTAGTCTTTCCATCTTGTCCACTAGGTGTCGCTCATGGAACCTTCAATTTTGCAATGACATGTTCCACGCGTGTAGAGAGCAAAAGTGATTATAACCTCTGTAGTTTCGAGGTTGTAGAGAGCGAAAGTGGTTATAATCCTTATAGTTTTGAGGATGTAGAGAGCAAAAGAGATGGTAACCCCGGGAGTTTCGAGGATGTAACCCCGGCAGTTTTGAGGATGTAGAGAGCGAAAGTGATTATAACCCCGGCAGTATCGAGGATGTAGAGAGCGAAATTGATTGTAACTTCTGCAGTTTCAAGGATGACCTTAAACTTCAGTAAACCAGATTATATTTTAATACTTTCAAGCAAACTTTTGTAATATTCTAAAAACTGTGCTTCATCATAAAGTGCCAAGTCTAGGTAATCCTCTTCATCTTTAGCAATGTCAGACACAAGATCGTCCAGCACTTCCTTTTGTTTCTTCTTTTCTTCAGACGGTGAAGAACCTGAAGAATAAGAAATGAAAATACAGTTAAGGAATATCAAGTACTGAACATGAGGATGTATGTGACCAACTGAATCACGTGACCCACAACACCTATGTTCCAACGACTGACAGTACGATCAGCAATGTAATTTACATGTATATGACTTTAAACATCTAATCAAAGCCAAGCGTATTCTTTCATATATAAAAAACGTCATCATCTGCCATTATATAACTTAATTCCTGTTTTTATTTTGACAAATCGTGATTGCTTCGATTCATGAAACTTTTTTTAATTCTTCCCTCGTATGATATTTGAGTTTATGTGTACTGTCAGTAAGTCTAGGTGTTCTTCACATAACTAGCAGTACTATTAATCATTAATGAGTTGTTATACCATTGTAATCTACTTTCAAGATAGCAATATTAAAAAAAATTATCCTGCAACTGGCACTGCCATTGTAGATCTTGTCTAATATACTTTTGTTATATTCGGCAGTGATGAAAAACAGCTGTATTTTACCATGTGGGTAATTCGATAGAATTCCTCTCTGAATTTACATAAATATTAGATTTAGAGATATAAATAGTTGTTGAAATAAGCGATTTACATGTTGTAATGAACAAATTGATTTATGAAAAGTCATAAAATATGCGATGAAGTTTGGAATCATGTTTCTGCATGGTGTAATTATATTGGCATTTCATCAGGCAAAATTCAGTGTAACGTCAATGTCAGGTAAACAAAGATTTAACAATCAAAACTGTTAAGGTTCAATAGTCTGATTTTCAATCAATGCTGAAGGATAAACAGAATACATGGGCAGAGTCTTTTAAATATATGCTGTATTTTGGTCCGGGACATAAAGACAAAAGTGGCTCGCCAGATCTATTTTCAAAGTGTTGTTAACACTGAAGTTATAATTATGCCAGGTGGTTCTGTGGTTGTTAATTGTCTTGGATTGACCAAGAAGATGCTAACCCTTCTGGAACAGCTGGTCTTGTTTGCTTCATTCTATTGGGTCTCTTTACAGATCTTTCTTCTGTCAATATTTGACCTTGTTACTTGAATTCTGTTACCTTGTCAGTATTTACAGATATAAATACCTGGTGCATTCAGTTGTAGAATTTTATCAAGCGATCTAACACAGAGGTTATGTATACATCCTGTGCATCATGAGAAGTATTTGACAAGTCTGGTGACATGCTCTATACATGGCCAGAAACAGATAGGTACACATATCCCTGTATATTATCTACCCAAATTTACTGCTGATATCAAAATGCATATTGGTATTGTCAGATGAATAAGAGTAAACATGTAGGGTAACCAAAGTACAACTACAAAATACAATACTGTTTGAATTTCCGTGATTTTTACATACTTGATGAAGATGAAGATGAAGATGATGATGTACTGGGAGGTGATACCACTCCGCCAGACTTGACCAGATCTTCTATAGCCCTCTCAATGCTGCCACGGTGTTTCTCAAGGGCATTTCTAGCCATATCGTTTTCAAATCCCAATGACATCACCTAATAACAAGCAGAAAACATTGATAACCTGAAATTGCATGACAACAAACTTAAGGTACTCATTTAGGCCTTAAGTGTTCATATGGTCGGTTTTTCGGATAATTCATCTACTTACATTTACAGCCACTAACAATGCAGGAGATTTCTATTTCTTTTCAGCTGGTAAATTGATAAAGTTTGGGATTAAAAACTTCGTAGGTTATGATACAGAAACAAATTCTTCAAGGCCTACTGAGCAACAGTGACTGTAGAATCCTCACTTTGTCCGTCACTTCCTACACAGAATGTACGGATACGATTAAAGAGTAATGTCTAGAAATACATTACAGTGGCCGGTTCACTCTCTGTATAAACTAACACTTGTAAGATTCAGCTTCCACAAGAACATGTCTCCCATGCAAGCAGCAAGAATGGGGCATGAACTAAGTGGAGTTGAGGAACAATATACTCCACTAATATCAAATCATGCAGTTTAGTCGATACAGGCATGATTGTCAACTCAACACAGTTACAGAATGAACAACAATCTGACTAGATTTCATAAAACAAACAAAAAATGTAATTTAATTTCTAGTCATGTCTTTGTATCCATGCTACCAGTCATTCATGACCATATTCAGTATACCCGAGGTCACATATGGAAGTGCTTGTCAGGTTTCCAGGTCAAAAGCCACGTAATCTACTGGAATAAAAATCTACTGATTCGACTTCAATTCATAGACCAGTATTCAACACAGCAAACATATAAGCAACCAAATCAAGGCATTTGATTGGTTGAAATTTAAACATTGAAATTTGGTATATAGGTAGCTTAATTATGCCTAATATTGTGTCCACAAATCTCTTCATTTTTGAGAATATTTGAAGATTTTAACCCATCTGACTTTTTTGACGTTGATACAAAATCAAGTTTGCACAAAATTTTAGCCCTATATCACTACTGGACCACTATCAGTATACTCTGGACCTCTTGATTACTGAAAAGAAGTTGTTTGAGGTTTTATAAATCCTTACAAGTCAAAAACAGAAGATATAATCGACATACCTCGTATCAGTCTACATAATTCAAACAATTTTACCACGTCTTTGTGTTCGCCAGCTTAACAATTCGCCTTCCCTCAGGCTGAGATCCTCCAATCTAACACAGGAGAAGTTTACATACAGGACAGTGTTAGTTACTGGATCCAAGCTAAAATGTTAAGATCACTAACACTAATTAGCTTTAAGTGTTTCATAGTTTACCTGAGCAAGCATATCGTCTGTGATAGATACCGGGGAATTAATTGGGTCAGGCAGGTCTAAAATCTCAGGATGGTTTTGTAGTACCTGTAACAGAATGAATAAACAATAGGCCCATAAGACATCATCTATCTAGATACTTCATTTACCAGGTATCATTTTATCATGTTTTTACTATAAAGAATTTCACAAAAAAGAAGTGGGATTTTGAAGATCAACCACCCTTCCTTTCCATGAAAAAGACTCCCCAATTACAGACAAGAATACACAAAACCAGACTTTTAGACAATAGTTCCATGTTGGCTACCTGTCAGCCATTTTGTCAACCCTTGATCAGTCTAAATAAAATAAATTTAAATATCAAGGAAAACATATATATATATGAAATTTAAAGACAATTAATTAAAATTTCTTTACAGAAATAACTCATGCCATTTATTTTGATATAAATAAGTGTTATGAAATGAAAAAAGAAAGATCCTGATAATGGAAATAATATGTAATGGCTGTAATTAGAGAGGAAAACAAGAGGTTCTTGTGGCCTGCATCACTCACCTGGTTTTGTTTGGTCAACACTGCATTATTACGAGAATGGTGAACACAAATTTCCAAAAACTGGCCCCATAATACAAGTTTGGCCAAAATTCTTTATTCCCTATAAGGACTAATTTGGTCATAAAAGCTCCATCCCAACAGAAGGAAGATATTACACATTTTCCTATATATCACTATTGGGTCTTGCTCATCTGCTAACAGGGGGATCAGACCTACAGTTAAGCAAAACTAAATCTCTTCCTCCCCATGATTCTCCAGACCAAATCTGTACGATTATGCCTACTGAGATCTTGTCTCAGGAATCCAGAAACTTGCAATATCCATCTGAAGCCCATATCTAAACTGTATATGAGGATTGTATTTTTTTCATTTATCTTGGCCAAGGAAAGCACATCATTCATGGTACATCAACGATTTGGTAATGGTTTCATTTTTACACTGAAAAACACAGTTGCAAAAATTTGAATATTATTTTATTTCTCTGGAAATTAACAAGACTAATAAAGGTTTTCATGCATCAATGCTTTCCTAAAGCTCGAATTAATGACTCACCTCTAAGGCCAAGCTTAGGTCATTATTTGCTTGACGAAGAGCTTCTGCTGACGCACCATTCCTGAAGCCCATTGCCAGTAGCATCTCGTACGTGTCAACATTAACTCTGTGAAAACCATAGGTAAGCAGCTGTATTTACACATCATAACACACTTGCATAGTAAATATTGAATAAGTGAAATCTTTAGCATCAAGTTGTTATAACACAACCAGTAGAAGTTTAGAGTGTGACGTTTCAATGACTACACTGTCACTTTCATCTTATAACACAACCAGTAGAAGATTAGGGTTTGATGTTTCAATGACTACACGGTCACCTTCATCTTATAACACAACCAGTAGAAGTTTAGAGTGTGACGTTTCAATGACTACACTGTCACTTTCATCTTATAACACAACCAGTAGAAGATTAGGGTTTGATGTTTCAATGACTACACCGTCACCTTCATCTTATAACACAACCAGTAGAAGATTAGGGTGTAATGTTTTAATGATTACATGGTCACCTTCATCTTATAACACAACCAGTAGAAGATTAGAGTGTAACGTTTCAGTGACTACACAGCCACCTTAATCAGCCAAATGACCAGTGCATAGCGTACTAGCACTGACATATGTAGTGTATGAGATGGAAGTATCAACCAACTTCATCAGCTATACTATAATCCTATGAAGGTTGAAAATAGTGTGATGAGATGGTAAACAGATTATAGAAACAAGAGTATCAGTGAAGCTAACATAAGCAATAATTCTATAAGTAAGGGGTTGCTGGCCCTGAATTTGGTAGACTGAACATTCTCATAGTATGACCAATATATACACCAAGTTTCATGATCCTAGTTATAATGCAAGCAAAGCTATGCTCATGACACAAAATTTTAACAAAGGGCAATAACTCTGTAATTGAATAGTTGCAAGCCCTGAATTTGGTACACAGTACATTCCCTGAGGGGTCATGGGCTGAGACCTTGCTACACAGCACCTCGCTTTTGTGTGACTATTGTATATAACACCAATTAACATCCTATTTTAAATGCAAGTAAAGTGATGCTCCAGACATAAAATTTTAACAAAGGGCAATAACTCTGTAAATAAATAGTTGCAAGCCCTGAATTTGGTACACAGTACATTCCCTTACTATGATCAATGTATATACACCTAGTTTCAAAGTAATGCTTGAGACACAAAATTTTAACAAATGGCAGCAATGCTGTAATTGAGGGCTCTGAATTTGGTACACTGCATATCCCCTTAGCATGATGAAAGTATACCCCAAGTCTCACAATCCTTCTTATTTGTGCTCCAGTGACAAAGAATGGTGGGAAAGACAGACGGATGGACAGACAAGGTGTCAACTATGTGCTCCCCCAAATATTTTGGGGAGCATAAAAAAGTACACAACATTGTAACAATACAGTGTAAACAATTTGGCTATGCTCTATTTAACATTTGGTCAATGGTCACACATCACAGTCACCTACTGGTTGTGATTTAGCACTTTTTAGTATTACCTTCCCTTAACAAGAAATAACAAGAAAATACCAACATGTCAACATAATCATAATCCAAACTCAAATTCAATAAAACTAGGGTTAACAAGCAAATTCATGGAATTTATATCCCCCACTTTCCAAACAAAATTGTAAGTAAATATTTTAGAGGTTAGGAGTAAACATGTCGAAATGCTATGTAGAATGATATAGTTTAATGATAAGCTGATAATATTTGTGGGACTTCAAGTTACATCTAAATCAGATTATATTTAGGAAAGTTAGAGCACAAAAACTGACCAACCAAAGAAATGAAATTAATATGCAAAGATATTAACAAATGATGCTGATTGCTGAACTCAGTCTTATGTGCCCTAATATGCATCTGCTGACCAAGTTTCATCTAAATTGGATTATATTTAGGGAAGTTAGAGTATGGAAATGAACCGACCAATGAAATAAAAGGATACCTCATTAGTATGCATAATTATTAACAGATGAAACTGACAGTCAAACAGTCTTAATGAACGCAAGATTCATCTGCTGACCAAATTCACCCAAATTGGATGATATTTGGGGAAGTTAGAACATGGAAACGAAAGTGTGACAGACAGACGGACGGACAAACCCAAATTAATAACCTCCATTTCGGTGAAAGCTGGGGATAAATATAAGATTTACCAGTGATTTAAAAGTGCAGGAAAAATACCATGTGTTCTAAAAGAGTAAGCGTATTCTGCTTCACTGACAACACCTGCCATGTAAACCTTGTCAGTCCTAGAAAGTAATGTCGCATTCTCCAATGAGAACATGGTATACAACAACGGAACCAAAAGACAAAAATGTGCATAAAATTTGATCCTTTTTGGTCATGCCCATCAGCCACTGGGCGTCAGTTACAGTAAAGCCCCTTAAGACCTTCCTATACATGAACAGTATTTGATTATATCATCTTTGGGTGTTGAGGAGACAATTTTGAAATTTAAGTCAATTTGACCATGCCCCTCAAGTCCCTTAGGGGGTGGGGGCTGCATAATTTATGATTTTGGTTCATCTTAGGCCAAGGATCAGGAGTTTTTGAGAAGAAGCGGAAAATGTTAAAGTGTTTACAGACGCACAACACACAATGCCGGATGAAGGTGATCACAATAGGTCACCAGGTGACCTAATAACAGATTACTCACTTTTCGCCATTTGCAGTTGACCCTAAAGATTTTTGTATTTTTTTCTTTCGTCGCTCCTCTTCAACTTTTTTAGTTATTGTTTTTTTCTCCTGAAAGAAATGTTAAGACCTCAGTGAAATACTTAATATGTTCCAATTGCATCAGATAACAAGATCTGTGATACACTATTAGATATTATAACTGGGTTTGATGGTGTAAAAAATTAAATTGAAACTGTGTACTAAAAGGGACAACACTTGAAATCAATCACATTAAGACATATATTTAGGACAGTCATTCTTATCGGTCCTACCATATATTGTGTTCATTTCAGGTTCATTATGACTATGTTCTGTTTACTTGGAAATTTTCTCTTCCAGGTTACTTTCATCTTTGTACTGTAATGATTAAATCTAAAATTACCTCTTCTACATTTCATCTTCTGGGAAATATGTAAAAGGGTTGGTAAAAAAATTTGCCCCCATTCTATATTTGCACTCACTGCTCATATACCAAATGGGCAAAAATTAAATGGAGGTAGAAAATTTCCTGGTACACCATATTAGAAACAATAGGCCCAAGGGGCATGCATCACTCACCAAGATAATTTAGGTGTTCAGTCATTTAACAAAACATTTCAAATATGACAAACAACTTCTGAAATAATTTCCCTATTGGGTCCCAGCTTTGTAGTAAAATACAAAAATTTGGCTTCAGGCCAGTCTAATGGACAATATCATTGTATTGAAGAAGGATTTTAAGAACTCACATTTCTCCAATTAGGCCTCATCCTGTCCATCCAAGGGATGCACTGTTTATACAGAACTATTCTATTTCTCCTATTGGGCCCTGCCCATCGGTCCCAGGGAACCGAAACCCACTGTTTATACAAAATTGATTCCGTTCACCAAAGAATGTTTTAGATCAAATTTAGGCAAAATCCAATTCTTCCTACAGGAGAAGTTGGATTTTAAAGAATTTGCTCTATTTCCCAGAACTGGTGAAGAATTTGTTTTAAGACTTTTACAAATTGTACCCCTGTGGCCTTGAATAAGGATCATGGTCATTTCTTTTTGAAAACTCTGTTGGACTTTATCCTAGGAACATCTTATCCAAAAAACATGATTCTGTGCATTTTGGTTAGTCTGAAGACAGGCCAGGAGAGCTTAATATACCATCAATGTTTTCCATAGCTGTTTCTCCAAAACAACAGACCAAGAGCAGATGTTGGCACATATAAACAGATAATCAACAATGACTGAGGAAAGCCAGATGTTTAATAAATAGAGACAAACAACAGATCAAGGACAGATGTTGAATCAACACAGACAAACAACAGATCAAGGACAGATGTTGAATCAACACAGACAAACAACAGTTCAAGGACAGATGTTGAATCAACACAGACAAACAACAGATCAAGGACAGATGTTGAATCAACACAGACAAACAACAGATCAAGGACAGATGTAAAATCAACACAAACAACAGATCAAGGACAGATGTTGAATCAACACAGACAAACAACAGATCAAGGACAGAAGTTGAATCAACACAGACAAACAACAGATCAAGGACAGATGTTGAATCAACACAGACAAACAGATCAAGGACAGATGTTGAATCAACACAGACAAACAACAGATCAAGGACAGATGTAAAATCAACACAAACAACAGATCAAGGACAGATGTTGAATCAACACAGACAAACAACAGACCAAGGACAGATGTTGAATCAACACAGACAAACAACAGATCAAGGAAAGATGTTGAATCAACACAAACAACAGATCAAGGATAGATGTTGAATCAACACAGATAAACAACAGATCAAGGACAGATGTTGAATCAACACAAACAACAGATCAAGGACAGATGTTGAATCAACACAAACAACAGATCAAGGACAGATGTTGAATCAACACAGACAAACAACAGATCAAGGACAAAGAGTGATTAGAAAAGTCTACAATATGTTGATAAGAACTTCACTTTAAACAAAGAAAACATCACACCCCTCCTTACCTCACGCTTTTTTATGATGTACTGGACAGAAGCCTCCACATCCCCACTGGTTACTCTAAGGGCTAATCGTCCTTCCCTCTCCTTGAAACCCATTTGCATCACTACAACATCAAAACAAGCAATCTACAAAACAAATTATAAATGAATAAAGTAAAACCAAAAAGGTTTTATTCAACTATTTTAACTCTTCAATATAGACTGACTGAGACATTGGGCTTTCCAGAAGCTGTTAAACATGTTACACCTGAAACATGCTATCTTGAAGGAACAAATGAATTATTGTGAGACTTGTAACCTTAACCCCTTGTTCAAGTTGATTAATGGCAAATTATGCACATATTTAATGAGGCTGCTGTGACCTGATTGGCTAATATCTTTTCCAATTTTCCAGGTTGTTCACTTTAAATGTATATATTTGGTGTAGTTGTTGTTTTTATTTGTGTATGGTTGGGTGGTGACCTGGTAGCCCTTCATCAAAACACCCCACAGAACCAATATCAGTACTCTGGACCTTTTGTTCTCTTATACATATTCTTAAGATTTAAACTCATTTGATTCCTTTGACCTTGAAATGAGTCAAGGTCATTCAGTTGCACAATTTTGTTAGACCTTCATCCTAGCATGCCACTGGCCCAATATCAGAACCTTGATGTTTTTTGTTTATTGAGAAGTAGTTTAAACATTTCAACATATTTGATCCGATGACCTAGAAAGTTTGAAAAACATTTGTAGCTTTTCATCCTTGTATGCTACGTGCCCAATATCAGTACTCTGGGCTTTAGACTTTTGGTCGTTGAGAAGTTGGTTGAAGGGAAAAGTGAACGTGGGTCAGATGATGGACACTACAGCATAACCTCTCCAGCCGTTAGGACATATGAGCTATTAACATACAAGTGTGTAAATCCACAAGCATGATGTACAATTTGAGATTACCAACATATACCCCAACAACGTGATCACATGACAAGTATCTGGATATCACTATGAAAGCATCCAAAGTAACCACCGACACTAATCAGGGTTGGATCTACTTACGTATCTGTATTTACAGGAAAGTTGATGTGTGCCATCCCTTAACGAATAATCAGCATTCTAACATTGGAAAATACATTGAAATGATAACAAGATGATGTAGTGACGCTGGATACAAAGGTCACTGATGTAGGTCAACTCTCTATATAAATAGATTGGAGTGCTAGTGCTGAGAATTCCAGAGAAAAGTTTCACTAACTGGTATCCTAAAATAGATAGAACTTTCAGCAATATTCTTCACGGAATCTTTAGTGATTGTAATTAGGAGAGACATACCAGCTTTGATTACTATATGAAGTGGATTGTTGGGGTACGTACCGTCAGTCTTGTTATCCATATTTCTCGCTGTTCAGCAGAGACTGAGTTACTAATAAATGACATTACATTGCTACCTCCTCACAGAGTCAGAGGGTACATCACAACAATTTAAGAATCTAAGTACCAAGACCAAGTATCTTTATCAGGTGGTTGATCAGGTTATTCTGCAGTTCTGAGGATGGTAGCCGGTAGTCAGACCTAATTACCCATTACAGGAACCTACATCTTATCTACATGTCTTCCTGTCTCCATGGTAACATAAATATTTAAACAATGACTCTAACCTTGAGCAAGTTTGTCTCCATCAACATTCAACCTTTTTAGCTCTTCTTCAGCCTGAATAAACAGAACGTGAAAAGTTATTACAAATGCCATTAAGTTTTTAAATACTTTTTTCTTCTCCAAAGTTCTGTCTTATTAATGGAGGTTCTTCATTGCTGAACATTCATCAATAGTTGTAAAATATTTATTGGTAAAATAAAAGGTGTAAGGTACTAGTGGAACAGGAAGTTATTCTGTACTCTCAAAACTACACCGGAATGTTGTACGGTAAAGGTCATGTATATCTACAGAGTGAAACTCATGGATGCTTTATATAATAATTAGGTAATTGAAATTTAAATCCAACAAGACAAAGGCTGCGGCTTGCAAACATTTTCAGGTATAAAAAGTCATCTTCAAGTGATAAATTTATTTAACATTTTGGCTACCACATCATGAAGTAACATACATCAAGGGAGATAATAATGTTCCTACTTAAGATTGGGTGACATCAATTTGTAAAAAAAAATATGAATAGAGTGCTATAGACATCTGTATTAAAACACTTTCCCGAGAGGAAATGTTTGTAAAATCATTCAAAACAACACATTATAATACACAATAATGAATCGATGTCAATTTAATGTATACACTTAATACCACAAAGGCACGATATCTATACACTTCAGACTACAAGCTGGGGCACTGTATTTATAGACTTTAAACTATAAAGGCCACTATATCTATAAACTTTGGGCTAAAGGGTCACTCAGCCTATAAACTTTAAGGCCATTGAAATTACAGGGCCACTTAATCTATAAACTTTAAGATACAAGGCCACTCTATCTATATATAAAATATACAAGAGACCCAAGGGTCTTAACAGTCACCTGAATTACAATGCTGTTGTTCTTCTTAGCAACATATCACATAAACAATCTTGTAATTGTTACTTACAGTTTTGGTAAAGCATCATAAGGCTTTTCCATCCATAAAAAGTATTTTAAATCTATCATATGTATTGAGAAGAGGATCTTTGATGTTTCAATAAATTTGACACTTTTTGACCAAGGTAGGTTTCTGTTAAATTTCATTAAAATCAGTTCAGGTGTTTCTGAGAAGAAGTTGAAAAGTTTACGAATCAAGATCCCAGACAAAATGCAATTGCAATAGATCACCATGAAACATTGTCTTGGGTGACCTAAAAATGTGATAGGGGAACAATTACTATACACTCCTTATTAAATGTGTTTTTTGAATTCAACTACTACTATACCTTCTGCAGCAATCTGGCAGCTTCCTGTATCCTATGTTGATGAAAGGCCACTATTCCTTGCAAAAGGTGTAACCTCATCATCAAGGCCAGCTCTGTTCCAGAACCTCCCTACAAACAACAGTCATGCCATTAAAATTTCTCACACACTCCTTTGAAGTAAGGGTTACACAGTTTGTAGTTCAATTGCCATATTGCTTAATTCTTACAGTCTGAGAAACTGAAGTTGATACAGAAAAGTTTCACCTTTCAAAAACCAAATTTTCATTCTAATGTCATCTAAGGTGACCTAAAAAATGTTGTTTTGAACCATTTTAAAGGGATGTTTCTCAATGAAGACCTACAAGTGTTTTGTTGTTAGAATGCCATGTTCTTCCAATTTAAAATTGGCCCAGACATGAGCTAAATATTTGATTATGTCTAACAAATAAAATTTCAGTTTCCATCTTAAAATCTCAAACATACTTTCACTGCTAAAAGTCGTTCCATGTTGTTCCCATAGGTCCTCTGGAAACACTCCTCACTCGCATGTAGTCGACTATCTGAAAGACAATAAACAAGGGACTGATAGGTCTTAACACTCATCTGACTGTAACATAAAGACTAATTGCTGTAATCAGCAGTACAGGCTGTGAAACAATTACTGGAAACAATCTTCCGGCTTTTCAGCAGTGTATATAGTAAAAATATACGGAACTTTTCCAACAACAAGAGGCCCAATGGACCTGCATTGCTCACCTGGTAATCAATGTTCAACAAAGAATATTTTGACATGTACATCATTGGCAATCGCAGTGGGCACATTCAATGAATATTAACCAACCTCTACAACAAACAGCTTCTAATACTAAACTCTAAACAGTGACAATTATGACCTTGACTTAAGTAAATGCAATTTCTTTTTTCATGTAATTTGTTGGGCTTTGACCAAGAAACACTTTCCATCAAACATCCTATTTCTCAGAATTTTGGTTTACTAGAAGAAGTCTTTTACAGGTTTCAACAAATTTGATCCCTGTAACCTTCAAACTGAATCAAGGTCATTCCTTTTCACAAACTTTGACAGACTTCATCCTAAGAACCTATCAGCCAAATATCATGCTTCTTGGTTAGTAAGAAGATGTGTTTTCACTGTTTTAACAAATTTGACCCCTGTGACCTTAAATAGGCCAATAAGAGATATAACATAGTTTAATAATCTCTAGCTGGAAAGTGAAATTTAATGCTATTGAAAGTATTATTCAGTAAAAAAACTGCAAAGTCAACACAATTTAACATATCCTTGGTATACATTTTCATATTTGGATTTTGATGATAGAGCCAACGCTGTTCAGATTCGTAGGTAGAATAGAGGATTTGTTTACTCCTTCGCTGGATACCAGGAAGTATGCACAGTGATTGCGCAGTAGGGAAATTCAAGTTAGGGAATCAATCACAACAACTGCGGAGTAAGTTGAAATTGTGTATGTCATAATGTACATCTGCTATTTATAGTATAGGCCTCGCATTTCATGTACTTTAGGCCAAAAAATTTGTGAATTTGTCATCCTGATGATACATCAAATATTTCACCTGAGCTATTCTTACCTGCATCAGGTAGATCCTAAATATTTACTCTGAGCTATTCTTACCTGCATCAGGTAGATCCTCAATATTTCATCTGAGCTATTCTTACCTGCATCAGGTAGATCCTCAATATTTCATCTGAGCTATTCTTACCTGCATCAGGTAGATCCTCAATATTTCATCTGAGCTATTCTTACCTGCATCAGGTAGATCCTCAATATTTAATCTGAGCCATTCTTACCTGCATCAGGAAGATCCTCAATATTTCGAAGACAGAGATAACACCAGACAATATCTAAACACAGGACTGCATAGTTGTCTACAGCATTCAAGATGTCGGATCGACACTTTCTGTAAGAGTACATCAGGCCTAGTTTTTTAAGTGTGACAAGCCTTAACATGAATGTCCTGCTCCCCTACATATAAGTATCATTGTTTGATGAATTCACAAAAGTTATCAAATGTGATTTTTGACCCTTTGACTTTCTTTTCCTTCTAAGAAGCAGAAAAAGTGAAATCTTAGCGCCCACCATTATTTGATCTTTAACTGCTTTTTTCTCTTTCCTCCTCTGTTTTTGCTCTTAATCATACGAGATTGGAACATTCTTCTGCAGAAGCTGAGATATAACTTATAATGATAGATTCAAGTTTCTACTTCAAAACTATTTCATTTGTCTAATCACTCCCAAAATAGAACTGGTATTACGTTGCACAAAGGGAAAATGCCATGAAGCTGATTGACAAGTAATGAAGGAGATGGAGAGAGTGTACAATCTTTTAGCTAAAATGTAGGTCAAAGGTCAAAATGAAAGACAGAGTGACAAGAAGTAAAGGAGAAAGAGTCCAGACAAAATAGACAGACAAATACAATGCAAAACACAATGTTAACTTATTGTGGGACCAATTCTCTATTTATATTACATTTTGTAACAGTGACCTTGACATTTTGGCCTCTTGACCTAAAAAGAATGCCATGCAAGTATTCCTAATAAGATTCTTGGATTCAAATCATCAGAGAGTAGTTCAGTATCAATTAAAGCAAAAACTTTCTTTAAAAAACGCCTTAAGATTAAGGATTTGGACAGATAAGTTTTAAAGGCAGAAGATAAATGGAGGGTAGAGAACCTTTTAACTCTCTATACCCAAACCCCATGTATAGAAAACCTTTTAACTCTCTATACCCAAACCCCATGTATACAGAACCTTTTAACTCTCTATACCCAAACCCCATGTATAGAAAACCTTTTAACTCTCTGTACCCAAACCCAATGTGTAGAAAACCTTTTAACTCTCTGTACCCAAACCCAATGTGTAGAAAACCTTTTAACTCCCTATACCCAAACCCAATGTGTAGAAAACCTTTTAACTCTCTGTACCCAAACCCCATGTATAGAGAACCTTTTAACTCTCTGTACCCAAACCCAATGTGTAGAAAACCTTTTAACTCTCTGTACCCAAACCCAATGTGTAGAAAACCTTTTAACTCTCTGTACCCAAACCCAATGTGTAGAAAACCTTTTAACTCTCTGTACCCAAACCCAATGTGTAGAAAACCTTTTAACTCTCTATACCCAAACCCAATGTGTAGAAAACCTTTTAACTCTCTGTACCCAAACCCAATGTGTAGAAAACCTTTTAACTCTCTGTACCCAAACCCCATGTATACAGAACCTTTTAACTCTCTATACCCAAACCCCGTGTATAGAGAACCTTTTAACTCTCTGTACCCAAACCCAATGTGTAGAAAACCTTTTAACTCTCTGTACCCAAACCCCATGTATACAGAACCTTTTAACTCTCTGTACCCAAACCCCGTGTATAGAGAACCTTTTAACTCTCTATACCCAAACCCAATGTGTAGAAAACCTTTTAACTCTCTATACCCTAACCCCACGTATAGTGAACCTTTTAACTCTCTGTACCCAAACCCCATGTATAGAAAACCTTTTAACTCTCTGTACCCAAACCCCATGTATAGAAAACCTTTTAACTCTCTGTACCCAAACCCAATGTGTAGAGAACCTTTTAACTCTCTGTACCCAAACCCCACGTATAGAGAACCTTTTAACTCTCTGTACCCAAACCCCATGTATAGAAAACCTTTTAACTCTCTGTACCCAAACCCAATGTGTAGAAAACCTTTTAACTCTCTGTACCCAAACCCAATGTGTAGAGAACCTTTTAACTCTCTGTACCCAAACCCCATGTATAGAGAACCTTTTAACTCTCTGTACCCAAACCACATGTATAGAAAAGCTTTTAACTCTCTGTACCCAAACCCCATGTATAGAAAACCTTTTAACTCTCTGTACCCAAACCCAATGTGTAGAAAACCTTTTAACTCTCTGTACCCAAACCCAATGTGTAGAAAACCTTTTAACTCTCTGTACCCAAACCCAATGTGTAGAAAACCTTTTAACTCTCTGTACCCAAACCACATGTATAGAAAACCTTTTAACTCTCTGTACCCAAACCCCATGTATAGAGAACCTTTTAACTCTCTGTACCCAAACCCCATGTATAGAAAACCTTTTAACTCTCTGTACCCAAACCCCATGTATAGAGAACCTTTTAACTCTCTGTACCCAAACCCCATGTATAGAGAACCTTTTAACTCTCTGTACCCAAACCCCATGTATAGAAAACCTTTTAACTCTCTGTACCCAAACCCCATGTGTAGAAAACCTTTTAACTCTCTGTACCCAAACCCCATGTATAGAGAACCTTTTAACTCTCTGTACCCAAACCCCGTGTATAGAGAACCTTTTAACTCTCTGTACCCAAACCCCATGTGTAGAAAACCTTTTAACTCTCTATACCCAAACCCCATGTATAGAGAACCTTTTAACTCTCTGTACCCAAACCCCATGTATAGAGAACCTTTTAACTCTCTGTACCCAAACCCCATGTATAGAGAACCTTTTAACTCTCTGTACCCAAACCCCATGTATAGAGAACCTTTTAACTCTCTGTACCCAAACCCCATGTATACAGAACCTTTTAACTCTCTGTACCCAAACCCAATGTATAGAAAACCTTTTAACTCTCTGTACCCAAACCCCATGTATAGAAAACCTTTTAACTCTCTGTACCCAAACCCCATGTATACAGAACCTTTTAACTCTCTGTACCCAAACCCCATGTATAGAGAACCTTTTAACTCTCTGTACCCAAACCAATGTGTAGAAAACCTTTTAACTCTCTGTACCCAAACCCCATGTATAGAGAAACTTTTAACTCTCTATACCCAAACCCAATGTGTAGAAAACCTTTTAACTCTCTGTACCCAAACCCCATGTATAGTGAACCTTTTAACTCTCTGTACCCAAACCCCATGTATAGAGAACCTTTTAACTCTCTGTACCCAAACCCCATGTATAGAGAACCTTTTAACTCTCTGTACCCAAACCCAATGTATAGAAAACCTTTTAACTCTCTGTACCCAAACCCCATGTATAGAGAACCTTTTAACTCTCTGTACCCAAACCCCATGTATAGAGAACCTTTTAACTCTCTGTACCCAAACCCCATGTATAGAAAACCAATATGTAATCTTAATTCTTTCATTGTTCATTTGAAATGAGAATTTACAAGTCTACAGATCACCATGATGGTTACAGAAAGTGAGACAACTAAACACTTATAATAGATATACCATACATCAAACCTGACAGAAATAAATTAACTGAATAAAATAAGAAAAATGAAACCTAACCTGAATTCCTTGTCAGCCTCCAATAACAGCAGTAGTGCTTGGCCATTCTCCTTCTTTTTCATTGCTGCCCTGCCTTTCTCATGTAAAGTGATTGCCAATGTCAGGGCCTATGTGAAAACCATAATCCTGATTAATTGTCACTACCTTTCACTCAAGTCAATTGCTAAACTTTACTATTCTAACGTGTAGTATTTATAATGTATAGCTGTAATGTCTTTCTATTTCTTATAAATATACAAATTCTATGACGTAAAACACAAAAAACTGTATAATTCTCAGATTCTAATCATTTTTTGTCTCTACATTACCTACATGTAGTTAAACATTTGTCCCTACATTACCTACATGTAATTAAACATTTGTCCCTACATTACCTACATGTAGTTAAACATTTGTCTCTACATTACCTACATGTAGTTAAACATTTGTCTATGTAGCTAAACATTTGTCTCTACATTACCTACATCAGTTAAACATTTGTCTCTACATTACCTACATCAGTTAAACATTTGTCTCTACATTACCTACATCAGTTAAACATTTGTCTCTACATTACCTACATGTAGTTAAACATGTGTCCCTACATAACCTACATCAGTTAAACATTTGCCCCTACATTACCTACATGTAGTTCAACATTTGTCCCTACATGACCTACATCAGTTAAACATTTGTCTCTACATTACCTACATGTAGTTAAACATTTGTCCCTACATGACCTACATCAGTTAAACATTTGTCTCTACATTACCTACATGTAGTTAAACATATGTCCCTACATAACCTACATCAGTTAAACATTTGCCCCTACATTACCTACATGTAGTTAAACATTTGTCCCTACATGACCTACATCAGTTAAACATTTGTCTCTACATTACCTACATGTAGTTAAATGTCTGTCTGTATACTACCTACCAAAGACCCACATTTTATACTAAAAAAAATACTGTCATTTCCCCCTAGGATGTTTCAAACCAAATTTGGTTAAAATCCGCTCAGCCTTTCATGAATATAGTAGCGATTTATAAGGAAATTTGACAGACCACAGATGGATGACGAATGCCTTTGGTTCCTAAAATGTACCTTTTTTTCCTCTGGGATTATCTGATAAGAACAAACAGTATCGCAAAGAAATCCAATACCAGGTATTTCGTCTGACAGACAGAAGTACAGGCAGACAGCACAAAAATAATATATCTAAGCTTATGGGATATTTATGGTTTTGCATCAGGAGATATGAACCATCACAATCTACAAATCACAAAAGAATGAAAGGCACATGATTTTGGGAGTGTTCAGTGTTCACCTTTTTTTCTACCGCTGGTATAGCAAGTGGCCTTCCTGATTGGTCTGCAATCTGGATATCATAGTCATCTACAAAACAAACATAAGTTCTTATCATTTGAGAAATGCAAAAAATGAAGGAGATTTAAGTCATCCTGGCATCTCATACATTCCATCTTTGTACAATTTTTTTTCATTGCATGTAAGTTTGATATTTTTCATTACATTTGGCAGATGAATTAATCATTTAAATAGGAAAAACCATTGAATAAAGTTCAAAACTATACTGTCTCCCTATCTCAACCTCCAGGGGTAAAGGATTTTATTAATTACAAGATTTAATTCCCTTTATCATCAAGGAGGTCTATATTTACAGTTATGATAGTGTAACATTACCTGTCTCTGCTTTTTCTGAGAGAAGTTCTGCTGCCTTTCTGGTGTCAATCATCCTGGTGACATCTTCCTGTTGCTTAACAGCCTGAGTTTGACTCACAGAAAGGCACAGTGCCATTATCTGGCTACCATGCTGAAAATGTTGTTTGAATCAAGCATGAAAACTCTCCTTCATTCTACTTTGTCATTTAAGAAATTGTACCAAGTGAATAGCACCTTTAAATGCACTTTGAAAAAATATGAATGTTTAACAACTGATACCACAAGGTTTGCCTACCACTGAAGGATCTTGATCAGTTCCTTATAATATGGATCTAAACTCTTCCTTTCTCTAATTCTTTCTTCTTATTTGCTGTGAATTAAATTTGAAAACCATCCATCCATTACCCCTAACAAAATTTTGATAAGCATGAAAATCAAGATCCAAGATGACTGCCTGTCGGCCATTTTGTATACCAATCTGTCAAAATATGGGAAATGCACAACAATGGACCAAATGAAAGAGCAACATACATATGAAATTTCTGATAGATTAATCCTGAATATGTGCTTTTCAAGAAATAGTGATAACAAAATCCTAGAATGGAAACCTCCTAGATCTTTTTCAGAAGAAAATTAATTTTCTAATATCTTGATTTTTCAATACCTTCACTCCTTGTGATTGAAGAGGTCTCTCATCAGTAATCACACAACCCTGACAGATGAGTTTAAGCTGGTCAGCCGGTAGTTCCACCTGTTGTGACAGCATGTCCCTTAACTGCTTTCCCAAGTCATCAAGACTGATCTCAAGTACAATATTCTGAGTCTGTATTGGAAAAATATTTGTGTTGTATTTGGATTTCACTACTGCATGTGTATCACTAATAAAAATGCTGATGAAAATACTGTGACTGCTGTGTCATCATCAAACAGTGGATCACCTACAATTAGTTGTAAAAAATGGCCATATGTAGCCAGCAGTATGAGTGTTTTTCCATCTCCAGAAATTAAACACATTTGTTGGGTACAGTCATCAAAGATGAGAACACTGGACCTACAATGCTGATAAGAGCAATGGACCTACATTACTGACAATTGGGCGCTAGACCTACATTGCTAGTCAGGTGATCAATGCTTTTTCACAAATATATTGACATCACATATCCTCTGTTTGTTTTCATGTGAGGCTAAACTTATTGAAGAGCTTATCAAAACAGGTCACGAAGACCTTGGAAAGTCCTTCTATTTCACTCTCAGGTATATCAATGACATTTCCTCTTAAACAACAAGAGATCTGTTGACCACATCCATCATATTACCTACCATCAAGGACATGACAGATTCTTTTACTCTTTTAAATCAACTGCTTATCTTGAAATTGCCCACAATGAAACCAACATTGACAGTCCTCCACCAAGCTGCATGATAAGCGTACTGATTTTAATTTCTCAATTGTGAATTTTCCATTTATAGACAGCATCACCCTGCATTCCCAACTTAGGTTTTTTTACATGTCTCTGTGAATTTCATATTCAAGAGCCTTTTTACAACATCACCATTTTTTGAGCAAGATGTCATCAACTGACAGACAACCTCAAAAAACAGAGTTTCAAAAGATGCAGGTTGATGAGAATTATGATAAAGTTTCTATGGTTCTATACTAATCTCATTGAGTACTATTCTACTTGATATCCTTTGTGCAATATCAAGCTGGATGTGTTTGATGCTCTTAACTTTTACCTGTTGGTTACATTTTTGTATACGTTGTCCAAGTTATTTGGCAGGTGTCGTTGAGGAAGCACAAAATGCTTGCTCTTCCGGAACACCTAATCCTTGTACTTTTTCAGGATTCGCTATGTAAATCTTTCTTTTGTTCCAATCTTACCCTAGTTTTATTGAATTTGAATTTGGATGATAATTATATTCACATGTTGATATTTTCTCATTTTCTGTGGTGAATGACATTCAAAGTGTGTCTAGAACTACATGCATATGGAATCTACTTAAACCAATTTTCAAAAAAAAACAAATACTTGAACATTTTCTTCTACTGACTGGTCCTGCAGTGGACAGCTTCAGCTAATGCAATTTATGGGCCCGGACTAATACCCTTCACCTACTACAGCAAAATTCAGTCTGTTAATATCTTTGAATTATTCAAGTAGTTGTACTATCATTAATATCTAATGTCTGAACACTGCCATTTTCAAATTAAATTTTTCCCTTTAGTATTTAAGTGGGTCCCTTTTCTGCATAGATAAGCATACACTGTTCTTAATATTAAAGTTATAAGGCTGAACACATCTATGTCTTTACAATGTAGATATAGATACAGGTGTAGCCCTTAAGAGTGAATAAATTGATTTTTTTTCTCACCTTGTTTGCACTTGTTGGATGGCCAGTCATTTTAACTTTCACTGAAGCTAGTCCTGATTTCTTGTATTTCTCTCGTTCTGCAAGCTTTTGCAGTGCATGAACTCTTAGATTTTCTAAAATTCCAGAGACTACTTCTTCCGTAAGTTGCAAGGCTTGAGCATATCTTGCAATCAGATCCTGTGACGTTACAACAACAGAGAGATTAGGCATATAAATGTACTGACTTCTTGCAAAATTAGGCATGTGATGAAATTTTGAAATAAATTTCAGTAATGGATGTCATAATGTAATCTAACTTTCAATATCAACTTTATTTCATTTTTCAGCATATAATAAGCATCCAAGTAAAAGTCAAATCAGATTTGGAAACAAGAGGCCCAATGGACCTGCATAGCTCATCTGGAAATCAATGTTCATCAAAAACAAAATCAGTGTTAATATCACAAATATATTGACATATACACCATTGGCATTTTAAAGTGGAGACATTCAAGCAATTCTTAACCAATTTCCACAACAAAGAGCTTCTAATACTCATCTCTAAACAGTGTCATTTGTGACCTGTATGTAAGTTAAATGCCATTTTTCTTCCTGAAATTTGTTGGGCATTGAACTATAAATACCTTTCCACCAAATCCACCTGCTTCTGGGACTTTTGGTTTACAAAAAGAAATCTTTAACAGGTTTCAAAACATTTTATCCCCATGACCTTCAATATGGGTCAAGGACAATTCTTTTTGCAAACATTGTCTGGCTTCATTCTAGGAACCTATCAGGCAAATACCATACTTCTATGCTTTATGGTATTTCAAAAGAAGTTGTTTCAAGGTTTTAACATATTTGACCCCTGTGACCTTGAATAAGGGTCAAGATAATTTCTTTTCACAAAATTTGTTGGGCTTCATCCTATAAACCTATCAGCCAAATACAGTGCTTCTGTACCTTATGGTTAGTAAGAAGAAGTGTTTAAATGTTTTAACAAATCTGACCACTGTGACCCTGACCAGAGGTCAAGGTCATTTCTTTTCGCAAACTTTGTCAGACTTCATTCCAGCGAACCACCAGCCATGACTTTTGGTCCACTGGTTATTGAGAAGGGGTTATTTAAATAGAAAAGTTAATACTGCACAGACGGACCACAGATGGATGGACAGGTGCTTGCCATGGCATAAACTCATCTGCCCAGTGAGGGCCATGTGAGCTAAAAAGTAATACATTCTTATTTGTCTCTATATTCTTACATTTGGTGAATCCCCTTTGCTACCATCCTCGTTGGTGTATGGTGGCAGCCATAGTTTGATCTGTTCTTTGTTCAAAATTTCTCGTACACGTACTTGTTGAAGATCTCGTGCATAATTCTTGTTTATATCGCTATCTTCCATGACACAGTGATGCAAAATGGCCACAAAAAACTGAAAATAAATTAACAGCATGATGAATTAACTTTAAAGCATTTAATGGTTATGACATAAATCTTCAAAATTTATCAAAAAATCTCACAGCATGTTAACAAAGCCAAAGAAAACAGTTTAACTAAACAGTAATATTTAATCATATGTATATTCATATTATGTATTTATAGAATTTGAGATCAATACTGACACTTATCAACCACAGACAAGATTGTATTGTTTCCTTGTACATGGATTAATGAGGGAGAAAAAAATTGTATGTATCAACAAATAAATGATTTTCAAAAACTTGAAAACTAATGAGGCATATCACTCTTTTTATGGTCACTGTCCCAGCAAGCTTGCTATCACACTGTCATCACTTATATATGGATGTTGTGGTTTTAATGACACTGGCCCAGCAAGCTTGTTATCGCACTGTCGTCATATATACATGTATGATGATGTGGTTTTCAATATCACTGTCCCAGCAAGCTTGTTATCACACTGTCATCACTTATATATGGATGTTGTGTTTTTAATGACACTGTCCCAGCAAGCTTGTTATCGCACTGTCGTCATGTATACATGTATGATGATGTGGTTATCAATATCACTGTCCCAGCAAGCTTGTTATCACACTGTCATCACTTATATATGGATGTTGTGTTTTTAATGACACTGTCCTAGCAAGCTTGTTATCGCACTGTCGTCATGTATACATGTATGATGATGTGGTTTTCAATATCACTGTCCCAGCAAGCTTGTTATCACACTGTCATCACTTATATATGGATGTTGTGTTTTTAATGACACTGTCCCAGCAAGCTTGTTATCGCACTGTCGTCATGTATACATGTATGATGATGTGGTTATCAATATCACTGTCCCAGCAAGCTTGTTATCACACTGTCATCACTTATATATGGATGTTGTGTTTTTAATGACACTGTCCTAGCAAGCTTGTTATCGCACTGTCGTCATGTATACATGTATGATGATGTGGTTTTCAATATCACTGTCCCAGCAAGCTTGTTATCACACTGTCATCACTTATATATGGATGTTGTGTTTTTAATGACACTGTCCTAGCAAGCTTGTTATTGCACTGTCGTCATGTATACATGTATGATGATGTGGTTTTCAATATCACTGTCCCAGCAAGCTTGTTATCACACTGTCATCACTTATATATGGATGTTGTGTTTTTAATGACACTGTCCCAGCAAGCTTGCTATCACACTGTCGTCATGTATACATGTATGATGATGTGGTTTTCAATATCACTGTCCCAGCAAGCTTGTTATCACACTGTCATCACTTATATATGGATGTTGTGTTTTTAATGACAATGTCCCAGCAAGCTTGCTATCACACTGTCGTCATGTATACATGTATGATGATGTGGTTTTCAATGTCACTGCCCCAGCAAGCTTGCTATCACACTGTCATCACTTATACATGTATGAATGTTGTGTTTTTTAATATCACTGTCCCAGCAAGCTTGTTATCACACTGTCATCACTTATACATGTATGGATGTTGTGTTTTTTAATGTCACTGTCCCAGCAAGCTTGTTATCACACTGTCGTCATGTATACATGTATGATGATGTGATTTTAATATCACTGTCCCAGCAAGCTTGTTATCACACTGACATCACTTATACATGTATGGATGCTGTGTTTTTTTAATGTCACTGTCCCAGCAAGATTGCTATCACACTGTCATCACTTATACATGTATGGATGTTGTGTTTTTTGATGTCACTGTCCCAGCAAGCTTGCTATCACACTGTCGTCACTTATACATGTATGGATGTTGTGTTTTTTAATGTCACTGTCCCAGCAAGCTTGCTATCACTAATAGCCCTATCAGTGGCCTCCGTCTTCTGAAGTTCAGTTACTGAGAAGGAGTAGTTTTTTCTCCGCAACAGTTAAAATGATAATTGGTATACATTGGTTAAGATAACCATATTGGCAATTTATTGGTTGCAAACATTTTGGATTTGAGAAGATGCACTGGAACTCCCAACACATATTTCTCTGACACTATACAAGGATTCACTTAATTAATTCTCCACTGAAATGGACTCACTGGTGCACAGGTAAGAAATAAAATGTATTTTAAAAAAACAGATAAGTTGGCATTTTTGTCATTCAGAAGTGAAAAAGTGTCAGGCATGTGTTAAATTCATCTGAAGGAGCATTTGCTTTTTTTTTGGCTCAGTATATAAAAAAGTTGTATATTAACATGCCAGGGACCCTTATTGAATTCCTGTCAAGGCATTCAACAGGAATATGTTTTTCTATTTTTCCACAATGGCTCCCACATGAGTCCAATGACAGAAATCAAACCAGGGTCTCTAGCATGATTATCTATGGCTCCACCAACAGAACGTATTGTTATTGAGCCAGTGAAGATACTCTGGTAGCTAATTAACTAAGGCCATATTCAACATAGCTGAGTAACAGAGGCCAAATTCAACAGGAATGTCTGATGTTTCGCTTCACAGTTATTTTGCACCATGACATTTTGCACCTACTACAGTCGATTTGCCCCAAAATGAAAATTCAGAAATGACGTTCCACTCCAAACGAATAATGCAATAATTATCAATTGTGGAGAAAAACATGTTTGCCCCGAATTATTCTATAAAATAGAAACAGATGAAAAGTATACATTTGAGATTTACATGTTTAAAATTTTTTCTACCTCAGTAATTATTTCTTAGTTGTGCGAGATTGTTATATCTATCTGTACCTATAGCTAAATACCATTGGAAGCTATGGTTAAAGGAAGGTAACTGTATATGTATTTTAGATAGCATGTCTAGATCTTAATTTTCTGGTCACAGAAAAGTGGAAGAATTCACATGAGCTCAAGATACATATCTAAACACACAATATAAACACATTATAATATAAACAGAACAAGTTTTATCTGTCACATTAAAACATAGAGGGTGCCAACAGTCTTGGAGCAAACTTTGTTGCTTGAATTGTGTTGGGGGCGAAACAACTAGGTGCGAATCTAACCAGGTCGCGGACTGGGTGCGAATTGAAACGTTAAGATATATACATATATGTAAACACTGGTGATCATCGGTGAGACAGTGCCAGGACACAGGAGGAGTTGGGGAGACAGAAAACCTGTTAATCAATCAAAGCCAGGGGTAACAGTGTCCATATTCAACAAACATAGTTAAGTACTCCTGACACATCTGTCATATACGTCCCTGAGTAATCTAACAGAGCTAAGCCATGTTCCACATTATAATTACACAAGCCACACCAATCAACTCAATGTCACTGATAGTGAACAGGGTTTTCACATGGTGATCTAAAATAGTGGCCCTTTTCAGATTAAGTGTTTTTTCTGTATAATTTGAATGAAATTCCTGGAAATAAATGGGGTCCTTTTCGAATTCTGTCAATTCTACTTTCCATTTTAAGAAAGCTGTGTCTTAATAAGATGGAAGAAAACTTAATCTTCTACTTCTGGTCTGAAATAAAGCATGCTTCAGAGTTCAAGTACAAGGCCTTTTACAGCCTAAATGCCTTTTCTCACACGTGTGCAATAATCTTGTATGATGAAAACAGCGATTTATACCTAATATCAGAGACGTATATACGTCTCTGCTAATATGTACTATTGATGACAGCGATTTCAAGCCAGCTCTGATATAGATCTTTTCAAGGATTTAAGTTCCTGTCATGTTACAGGTTTAGATGAGATCTAAAGCTTACATTAATACCTGTTAAAAGATCGTAGTGAATTTTGTCAGAGATTCTACTGAATAAGCGTCGTTGTCTTGCTTCTAAGATGTCCGTTTGGTGAGGTAATTTCCAAATTTCTATTTTCATGCGTCATCATTGTTTTGATTTTTTAAGTTCTTCAAAATGTTTCTTGCAGTCTTGTAAGACTAAGCTTTATATTGACAACGATTTGTTAAATTCTTGATTGCCTCCCCTTAAAAGATCTATGCGTACAAAGAGAAACAAGAAAAAAACTTGAAAATTATATGGTAAGTTGCATTGTTTTCCTTTCAAAACAGTCTTAGAATGTTTTAAAGTGTGGGTTTCTACTGAATATATTTCCGATTCTGATGTTGCAAACTATATATGTCCACATTCGTTACTTTGGACTCTAGCAAGTCCAACTACATGTAGACCTGCACGTGTCCCGATTAGGAAGTATTCCAATATTACAAGAAGTGGGTCCATTTTTTTATTTTTAATCAATATATCTCCTTTTGAATCAAGTGTATACCTGTCTCGGTGTTTATTTATTTTAATAAATAGAAAATACACATGTTTCAATTGTTGATACAATCACAGGGACCCGGGAACATGTCACATATGTATGCAATGGCAAATGTTGTGTATCTCAACTTATCCAGTCGTGTTTAACATTTTGAGACTTCTTGGGGTCTAGATCAACGTTCGATAACAATAATCCCACACTATGGTAAATATTTAGTACTCATTTTACATATCATAGAGAGGTGTCATTATATCTGATGACCTACCTATCTAGCCCTCATGATCAATAGCCTAGAATAAAAGAGTGGCCATATAAGGGAGCTTAAGGCCCAAATAACCAGTAACAGGTCCCTGTGATTCCGATGACTTATCCTTTACATAGATACATTCAGTCTGTAACACAGGGACCTGTCATAGCTGATTTAGGATTACATACCAATGTTAATGTATTGGCCATGATCAGTGAGTCAGATTATATCTAATGACGTCTACAATTTGTATGTGTATTTGTGCAGAACTAGAATCACACATATTTTAGATTATACTTATATATGATTTACATGTTTTGGCCGTCTTCAGAACCCATATCAACAAAACATGTCAAAGAATAAAATTTAAGTTACGGAATTCCTGGTGTTGGTGCTCCATCCTATATCTTCTTGTGATTACCTATCGTCTGTGGAGATTGACTAGAAAACTCCTGTATCTGCCTAGGATTCCTCTACCGATACTCCTACCAACCAGTACCACCCATAGGATGTTGGACTCTTCCACTCTTTTGTACTTTTCCGCTTATATATGGTTTGATTGTATATGGTGAGCCAAAGTATAAAAAGAGTCACTGTATATACTGATATCTATAAATAAGAAATTGTGAACAAACTAAGCTATTTCAGCAATACCAACCCTATAGTTCTCAAACACAGGTGTGTTCGTACTGCTGCAGTAGAGAACAAATTCTTAATCATTAAAGGAATCTGTTTCTTTAAAACAGACTATAGTGTTGTTAGCATACCTATTCTGAAATTAATGACCAATAAGCTTAATATATTGACATGGTGTGGCATTCGACTGTTTCTAACTTTTTTTCCTAAGGATAGCTATAAGCTTAGGTCATTAAAACTTTTCAGATTTCGACCAAATTAGGTCAGAAGCACACTTGGGGAAAAGAGAATCAGACCAATTTAGCATTTCATTTTTGTATGGATATCTCCTTCTTCAGTTTTTCACCAATTTCTCTTAAATCTCGGTAGGCTTTATAACTGTGACATGAAATGGCGTTTTCCTTATGGACATTTTTGGGTTATCTGACCTGAAAGGTTAGAATGACATACAGCTATCGTGTTTCATCTGTTGTTGTGCATCATACATAAACTTTTCATTCAAACAACTTCCTCTCAATAACATTAAGTCCCAGGGCACTGATACTGGATCTGTTGCATGCTTGAATGAAGGACTACTAAGTTTGTTCATATGATTATAACTTTTATTTATCCATTTTCAAAATGAAAGAGGTAAAATGATTAAAAATCTGTAATTGACTGTTACTCATTAATCAATAGTCCCAAGTTGCTGATATTGAGTCTGTATAATACTGGGATGATAAGGGCTACCCAGTTAGTACAAATGATTGACCTTTATCATTTCTCAAGGTCACAGGGGTCAAATATATTGAAATATTTCATCTACTTTAAAAAAAAAATGGCCCAGGGTGCTGATATTGGGTCTGTATCATTCAATGGTGAAGGGCTAGCAAGTTAGTTCATTTGATTGACCTTGACTTTCAGATCACGAGGGTCAAATAAATGTATCTATATCCAAATTTAAAAAAAAAAACTTCTCAATAACCAATGGGCTCAGGGTGCTGATATTGGGCCTCTGGAATGTTTGGATGAAGTGCTACCAAATTTGTCTAAATAAATTACCTTGACCCACTTTCAAGGTCACATGGTTCAAATGTCTTCAAATATTTAAAAGACTTCTACTCATTTACCAAAAGGTCCAGGTTGTTAATATTGGTTCCTTAAGATAGTTGGATGAAGGTGTACCAAATTTATTCAAATGATTGACCTTTAATTGACCCACATTCAAGGTCTCTTGGGTCAAATGTGTTTATATCTTAAAGCTTCTTTTTAGGTGATCTGACCCAAAGGGTCGAGATGACCTATAGCCGTGCGACTTTCAAGGTGACAGGGGTCAAATATGTTAAAATATACAAACGACTTCTTCTCAATAAGCAAAAGTCCATGAGTGCTGATATTGCGCCTGTAGGATGCTTGGAGGAAAGGCTACCAAGTTTGTTCAAATGAATGACCTCGACCCACTTTCAAGGTCACAGAGGTCAAATATGTTGAAATTTTTTAAACAACTTCTTCTCAACAACCAAAAGGCTCAGAATGCTGATATTGGGTCTGTAGCATGCTAGGATGAAGGATTACCAAGTTTGTTCAAATGAATGACCTTGACCCACTTTCAAGGTCACAGGGGTCAAATATGTTAAAATATACAAACAACTTCTTCTCAATAAGCAAAAGTCCAAGAGTGCTGATATTGGGCCTGTAGGATGCTGGGAGGAAGGGCTACCAAGTTTATTCAAGTGAATAAAGCCCACTGTTTTAAAGGCAGACTCACTGTTGTTAGAGTTTGGCTTGCTTTTTGTCAGATGACCATTTAGGCCCATGGGCCTCTTGTTTCAATAAGCAATCAGATCCAGTCCTGGTTTTTGTGTGGTAACAAGTATAGGAAATATGATTTTAAGTTTGCTGAAAATGTTTTTATGACCCGACCAACATTGCTGTCTTTGTAAGCTGTCGACCAATTTATACCTATTTTAGCCTCTGTCATATATAGATCCTTTTAGTCAGATAGCCAGTAAGGTCAATAGTCCAAATGTGATGTTGTCAGGATATCTCTTCCATCAAGTTTCAACCCATTCCTTTGAAACTCCATAGGCTGGCAACTCACTCTAAGATGAAATTACGTTCTTGTGAATAACATTTTGGGTTCAACAATATTTCTAAAAGTTATTTCCCTCCCCCCTCCATTGTTCTTTTTGGTTGTTTCTTTTTTTCAGGGATTTCTTTCATTTTTTCTCTAAACCTTTATAAAACTAAATATGCTTTAATTTATCAATAAACATATACCTGGTAGCACCGTTTTCCCTCTTGTTATTTTGACTTATTTACACCAGTCCCATCATTGTTTTCTTCTTGATAAAGAATTACTAAATATTTCTTTTCCACAGGTTATATTGTTCTGAACTTTAGTTCTCTTGTTATCTAGGGAAAACATTTTTTTCACAAAAAAAAAAAAAACTGCAAAAAAAGTAACTATCTATTGTGTGATGTTCTGTATGTGTTTGTGTAACAATAAAATACTTCTAGGAAATAGTCAAAATCATATTCATGTTGTTATTTTTTCTTTTCAGATAGAGGATCTGAGATGACCAGGGATATGTTTCTAGAGTGATGACATTGTCTTGTAGAAAAGAGAATACAAATCATACTGGTAATCTCCTTATATGGGTCTGAAACAATCACTTAGAAAACCTTCATTTCTGTGATGGATTCTGCAAAGTTTACCAATGAATTACAGGGATCGTCCTCCCAGGATTTGCAAGTTCCAGTGTCATCTACAGTTTTTTCAGAAACACATTCGCCAAAAGAAATACAAATACCCATAATTCAAGTGTCTTTGTCCAACCAAGGTTCTTCACCAGTCTTGACAGTACATCCAGCTTTAGAAATAATCACAGATTCTTCCTCAAATGCGAACCAGATTTCATCTGCTATTATTCAGCAAAGGTTTGGTTCAGGTGTGCTTTCCCATCAACCTGCTTCCTCTTCAATTGTAAGCACACCATCCCTTAAAAATCTTCTTGTGAAAAATGTCAACAGGACATTGGCAGAAGATGGGTCCACAGTTTCAGTTTTGCAGCCAGCACTTTCCTCTCCAGAGAAAACGTCATGGGTAGGATCCTCTGTTATTGATAAACCAGAACAGTTGCAATCACAAGTAAGGATAGGACAGCAAGGTTTTGAAGTCAATCAAGATCAGCTCCGAATTCAACAAGTAGGACTCTCTGCTGACAATATAGATGTACCTTGGAAACCAATGGCAACTGATATAACAGAATGTATTGTTAATCCGGAACAATGCACCACAACTACTGTTATAAATGTTGACAGAATATCATCAACGTCCATTGTTCTCCAAAAGGCACAGGAGGATTTTTCTGTCATCGCCGAAGATTCTCCCACGATACATGAGGAGTCACTTCCTATAGATGCTGTTATAGAGACTATAGAGGAATATGTTGACAATGCAGAATCACAACCAAATGGACAACCTGGTAAAGCTCTTTTGATGACAGAACTAGGCTCTGCCGGTGGAATTGTGCAACAGAATACAGATTGGAACATTGATGGGAACACAGCTTTTGATATGCATATAAAGAGACACTCTGACAATGTTATAGCTAAAATAGGGTTTAACCAACCACAAGTTGTTGATAGTGCATACAATCGCAAATTTACCGTGACATCGAAGGGATTGGCTGCACCTTCACAAATCTCTGAAAGCTTATTCCAAGCAATTCAAACACATGCAAAAACAAGCTTGACTGGAAGATACCAAGATGATACACAGGTTTTAAGAAGTGATGTTAACTCCTGGGAGAGTCAAAACTTTCCTTTAAATTCAGACCCAACAAACATTTTTAGAGTGAACTACATAGATGGTAAGAGGCATACTGCCATACAGAAAAAATCGAAGGACACGTCTGAAGGAGTTGAAGGACCAAATGAACAACCAATTTCACGTGTACAGTCAACGGAACAGCCACTCCACATTCAGAATGAAATGCACCGCTTAGGGCTTCATGTACATATTGATAAAGTACAAGACAGTGAAGGCGCAAAGTTGGAAGATCTTGATAAAGAGAGACACCAATGTACCTCTGAAACAGCAGAAGCTAAAAATATAGTGGCGACAGACGACCACAACAACTATGTTATGTTTGGTAAAAGTGCAGAAAATATTGAATCATCATCATCCAAACACTGCACTGCCAACATGTCACAGGAGAAAAACGATTCTGTTGTTCAGGGGGATACTGACGTAGGAAGACATGCTGGTTTAATCACTGATACACCTGTTAACGATGCTGCTTTTTGTAACAAATTGTTATCACTGACAAGTTCAGTGAGTGATGGACAACCCAAACTGACACCAGTACTAGCAGAAAATGACAAGGAAACATTAACACGTACTTGTGAACCAGGTGTTGATACTACAAACCTGTTTAGAAGAGAAATCGCTCGCATTGTTATACTCCCAAATCAGGTCAGTGGTAAAACAGAACTTACTGTTAAAGGACCAGATGATGGGAAATCAGGTGCCATGAAGAAAAAGGCATTGCTCGTTCCAATCAGAAATATTAGTAGAGTGAAACAAACAGAAGCAGATTCAACATCTGTACACATTGAAAAGGAATGTACATCAAAAACACAGAATGTTGATGTGGTTTGCCAAGAAAGTCTAGATAAAGAGCAAATGGAAAAATCTGTGGTGGCTCTGAAACCACTCAATACCATAATTGAATGTGAATTAAGTGTACTACAGAGGCCGAAAAAAATTACCAGATATTTCAAAGAAAAAGCTAAAAAACAGGAGACAAAGCAGCAGTGTGTTCGAAAGGAAAAGAAGGCTGTAAATCAACAGAGTCAGCTTGACCAGGAAGTGTAAGTTATCGGGGGGAGGGGGGGAACACAAAACAGATTTCCTCTTAAATGTTATCGGGGGGAACACAAAACAGCTTTCCTCTTAAATGTTATTGGGGGGAACACAAAACAGATTTCCTCTTAAATGTTATTGGGGGGAACACAAAACAGCTTTCCTCTTAAATGTTTCAGATAAGCTTCATGGTAAACAGTGTATCAAACCCAATTTTTATCATCTTTAATTTCTTGATAAATAGCAAACTTTAGAAATGTATCTCTAATAATCGCTAACATATCCTTTGTATATATTTTCATATTTGGATTTTGATGATAGAGCCAACGCTGTTCAGATTTGTAGGTAGAATAGAGGATTCGATTACTCCTCCGCTGGATACCATTATATAGTGATGAGTGCCTTCAGCTGTGGAGTTGGTTTTATTAGGAACTATGCTTTTATTTCCTCTAGGTCTGCAGAGAAAGAAGATAAAGTCCCATTTGTGAAGGATGATACTAATCCGACGCAAGTGAAAATTCATCAAAACCATGCAGAATTGCTTGGTAGGTAGCTGAAAGTGCCCTGCTTTACCAGTTTGTCTTTTCTTCTTATTCAGAATTTTTGGTGGAGTAACCTAGATTCAGACCCCCATAAAAACCAGGTGATATATTGATCTAAATTAAAAATCAAGGACAACAGACGCTTTTAAATCAGCGGCTTACCACAATCTTTTTCATGATGATTCCTATTTCCCTGTCTTTAATTTTCCATTTCTAGATAGTAACGACCTGTTTCCCCAACCTGTGATGTTTACATGTTACAGTCATTGGCTTGTTTCCTATGTCTTGACTTTACAGAAAGATGTTGAAAACTGACAAATTAACTACAGCACAGATTTACGCGAGATGCAAGTTGATGAAGATTATGGAAAAGTTTAGAATAATCATGAATGATGGTTGATCCCATTGGGAAATATTCAATTTACTTGTAGGATAGCAATTTGGATATGCTCGATGTTCATTAGTGTGAGTGGTGCTTCTGTTTGTGTTGGCCTTGTTCTCATTTAGGAATGCATTGCTACTTGTTGATCAAGATTTACGTGGCGGATGTTCTTCATGAAGCAAAGAGCACTAACCCTTCCAGAACGCCTGGTCTTATTTTCCTGGTATTTTTTCAGAGGCTATGTATATAGTCAACACCCCAAATGATGTTTGCTGGCAATGGTAATTCATAAAAAATATGTACACATTTTATCACACCTTAAATTGTATTCAAAGTGTGTATTTAAAACATTTGTCATTTCAACATCAGATTTGTTTCTCAGGGTGCCACTTCACAACACATGCCTCTCTTTTGGAACACCTGGTCTTATTTCTCTTGTACGTTTTTCAGGAGTAAACCTTTTTATTGTTCAGATTTCGCCCTAGCTAGTTTTATTGAATTTGAGGTTGGATTATCATTATGGTGACATGTTGGTATTTTAATGTTGTTTTTTATTCAATATTGCTACAACCATTTTTTGACAGTCTGTTACCTTTCTGTTCGTCAGTCTGATTTTCTATCCAAATTATAACTACATGTAACGCAGTGAGGTTTGTTTGCCAACAACTTATGCAGTACACTATATTGTTTGTGCAGCTCTTTCTGAGCTTTAATGTACATTGGAGTCCTGTTACATTTTAGATTTCCCTTGTTACTTAAATATTCACTGTAACTTTCTGGTTTTTTTTGTGTCACTGCAAATTCTGACCACATTTCACATAAGTACAAAAATGTTTTAACGCAGAATTTGAGAACAAAGGAAAGAAAAGAGAAAGTAGAGTGGCCATGTTCTGCTACACATTTTTTTTTCTCGATATAGAGGTCATGGATCATGATATGATGGATGAAGGACCATCAGCTTTGCTCAGATCAATTTCCTTGATCCATTTTTTAAGTCACAGGGGTCAAGTGAAATAAAATTTTTAAAAGGTTTCTTTTTAATTACCAACGGACTGAGGGTCATGACATTGGGCCAATAGCATGCTCGCATGAAGGACCACCAAATTTGTTCAACCAAATTCTGTTATCATGTATACATTTGTATAACATACACATCTGTCTCTATTTCTGTTTTTAGAAGGAAAGCGCTCAAAGGCATTCACTTGTAAACAGTGTGGACGAGGCTTCAGCCACCTTGGGGACTTCAACAGTCACTTGAAAGCACACAAGGATGGAATGCCTTTTACCTGCAATGTGTGTGGAGTTGGCTTCAGGAAAAGTGGTCATCTAATTAATCATAGTAGGCGACACACTGGTGAGAAACCATTTGCCTGTACATTATGTAATAATGCGTTCGGACAACTCGGTACCCTGAAGCGGCACATGCGCATTCATACAGGTGAAAAACCATATGAATGTCCTACATGTAAAAAAAGATTTTCGCAGTTAAGTTACATGAAAGTGCACAGGCGATCCCATACTGGGGAAAGGCCATTTAAATGTGATGTGTGTGATCACAGTTTCTTGCAAAGTGGAGATCTAAAGAAACATAAACTACGCAAACACAATGCCAAGAAAGAACTGTCATGTCCTCACTGCCCTAAGAAGTTTGGAGATAAAGTTGATATAAAGCGGCATATCAAAACACATGATGGCAAACTTGTGTGTAAAGCTTGTGACAAGAAATTTGATAATGTGGACAGCGCAAAAATCCACAAACAGCTGTTTCACTCAAAGGGAAAAGCAAAAGAATTGCCCCATCATTGTGCTGTGTGTGATATAGGGTTCAAACTAAAAACTGACCTGCGGTCTCACATGGCCAACTGCCATCCAACAGATACAAAGAAGGAAAAAATAACAAGTAGAGGGAAAGGAAAGAAAGGAGGAAAGAAAAGGAAAAAAAACAAAAGTGAAGTGGAAGACAATGATTCAGATCTGGAAGAAGACAGGAACAACATGCAGGAGGTAGAAACTACTGCCACGAAATCGGATGAAAATGACGAACAGAAAGACCAGGGAGAAGAGGCGGAAATAGAATCAGCGATAAGGGGATCAAGGAAAAGAAAAGCAAGCCAGCAGCATAAGTTTTTGACTGCAAAGCTTGATCGTCCAAAACGATCAAGACGGGCAAAAGAATATTAACAGAATGTTCAGTGTATACTGAATTTTGTCTGACCAAATGGATAAGGATGACCTTAAGAAGCAGTTCTTAATATTCTACACACCCGTCAAAATTTTGAACATAATTATGGTATGTTGTCCGTCTGTTCATCCTTCCACTGTTTTCAACTGATCATTTTTCAAATTTGGTAGACTTGATCACCAATGAACTTCCTAGTTTGTTTTCATAATATTAACCTTGTCTGGAGATCTCCTCTTGCAGTTTTAAACTATATTCTATCAAACCTGGTATGCAACTTAACCAACATTGACTCTAGCCTGTCCTACAACATAACATTGACTCTAGGCTGTCCTAACAACATAACATTGACTCTACCTGCCCTACATCATAACATTGATGCTAGCCTGTCCTACATCATAACATTGACTCTACCTGCCCTACATCATAACATTGACTCTAGCCTGTCCTACAACATAGCATTGACTCTAGCCTGTCCTACATCATAACATTGACTCTAGCCTGTCCTACATCATAACATTGACTCTAGCCTGTCCTACATCTTAACATTAACTCTAGCCAGTCCTACATCATAACATTGACTCTAGCCTGTCCTACCTACATCACAACATTGACTCTAGCCTGTCCTACAACATAACATTGACTCTAGGCTGTCCTAACAACATAACATTGACTCTACCTGCCCTACATCATAGCATTGATGCTAGCCTGTCCTACATCATAACATTGACTCTACCTGCCCTACATCATAACATTGACTCTAGCCTGTCCTACAACATAGCATTGACTCTAGCCTGTCCTACATCATAACATTGACTCTAGCCTGTCCTACATCATAACATTGACTCTAGCCTGTCCTACATCTTAACATTAACTCTAGCCAGTCCTACATCATAACATTGACTCTAGCCTGTCCTACCTACATCACAACATTGACTCTAGCCTGTCCTACAACATAACATTGACTCTAGCCTGTCCTACAACATAGCATTGACTCTAGCCTGTCCTACATCATAACATTGACTCTAGCCTGTCCTACATCTTAACATTAACTCAAGCCAGTCCTACATCATAACATTGACTCTAGCCTGTCCTACCTACATCACAACATTGACTCTAGCCTGTCCTACAACATAACATTGACTCTAGCCTGTCCTACATCTTAACATTAACTCTAGCCAGTCCTACATCATAACATTTACTCTAGTCTGTCTCTCGTCATAACATTGACTTTAGCCTGTCCTACCTACATCACAACATTGACTCTAGCCTGTCCTACAACATAACATTGACTCTAGCCTGTCCGACATCATAACATTGACTCTAGCCTGTCCTACATCATAACATTGACTCTAGCCTGTCCTACAACATAGCATTGACTCTAGCCTGTCCCACATCATCACACTGACTCTAGCCTGTCCTACAACATAACATTGACTCTAGCCTGTCCTACATCATCACACAGACTCTAGCCTGTCCTACATCATAACATTGACTCTAGCCATTACTACCTACATCACAACATTGACTCTAGCCTGTCCTACATCATAACATTGACACTAGCCTGTCCTACATCATCACACTGACTCTAGCCTGTCCTACATCATAACATTGACTCTAGCCTGTCCTACAACATAGCATTGACTCTAGCCTGTCCCACATCATAACATTGACACTAGCCTGTCCTACAACATAGCATTGACTCTAGCCTGTCCCACATCATCACACTGACTCTAGCCTGTCCTACATCATAACATTGACTCTAGCCAGTCCTACCTACATCACAACATTGACTCTAGCCTGTCCTTTATTAGGATTTATTAGGATATTTAATGGACGCAGACACACAGTGCCTCTATATCCATATCAATAATAATCATACAATTCAATTATATAGTCACTTCCGATTAGTGAATTGCAACGAGCCAGATGGTTAAATTTCAGTTCGAGATTTTTCCAATGATTGTCCAAATTAATTTCAAAGTCTCTGATTGTTGATGATTGGATTACTTTTTCTGGTAGACTGTTCCATAGGTCTATAGTTCTTAGTCCAAATGAGTATTTCCGAATGTCCAGATTACATGATTTCTTTTTCAGTTTCTTTGAGTGGCCTCTTGTTTTAGAATTTTCGTCTCAATCAAACATGCTTTTGGTGACTTTTTCATCGTGAAATTTATCCATAATTTTGAAAACGTTTATCATATCTCCCCTCAATCTACGGTATGCCAATGTCGGGAGTCCAAGTTTCTTGAGACGGTCGCTGTAGGATAGTTCTTTCAGCCCCGGTATAAGCTTAGTTGCCCGTCTCTGCACGCGCTCTATTGATTCGATATCCCTTATTTTGTATGGGTTCCAGACGCTTGCGGCATATTCTAAGTGTGGGCGGACTAATGCCTTGAACAGTTGTTTAAAAGACACTTCATCTAAGTATACAAAGGACCTTCTAATAAGACCAACAATACTGTTGGCTTTGTTTACAGCTTGTTGCATATGCATAGAGAAATTTAGATCTTTATCCACCGTTACGCCAATATCTTTTTCTGAAGTTATGTTTTCCAACGCCACGTTGTCCTCTGCTCCTGTCATATGGTATGTCCATGTTTCTTTCCTTTTTTGTTTTATTGTTAATACTTTGCATTTTAGTGGATGGAATTTTAGAAGCCATTTGTTAGACCATTCTTGCAGTTTATCCAAGTCTTGTTGCATTGCCTTCCTGTCCTCATCACTTTTTATTTCTCTATAAATCTTAGTGTCATCAGCAAATAGGTAGGTGTTCAAAGAAGTATAATCTGGCAGATCATTTATATAGATTACAAATAGAATTGGGCCAAGTACGCTGCCCTGGGGATCCCACTTAATACCGGGTGGTCTTTGGATGCTTTTCCATTAACTAGTACTCTCTGCTTCCTTTCGTGTAGAAAGTTTTCTATCCTGTTGACGACTTGGTCTGCTATTCCGTAGCTTCTTAATTTTTCAATTAACCTGCGATGTGGTACCTTGTCAAAGGCCTTCATAAAGTCCATATATATAACATCAATTTCCCCACCGTGATCTAGTATATCCATCCAATCCTCAAGCACCATAAGGAGCTGGAGAACTGTGGACCGTTTCGCGATAAATCCAAATTGCTTCTTGCTAAAAAGATCATTGTTTTCCATATGATTAACGATGGAATTTCGCACAATTTTTTCCATGGTTTTTCCAACTATGCTGGTGAGGCTTACGGGACGATAATTCCCTGGGTCCGATTTTGATCCTTTCTTGAATATTGCTGTGATGTTGGCCTCTTTCCATGCAGATGGAACTTGACTATCCTCCAGTGATTTGTTGAAAATAATACTTAGCGGTTTGTTTATGATCGATTTTAGTTCCTTCATAACCTTTGGGTGCATTTGGTCAGGTCCTTGAGACTTACTGTTATCCAAGTCTGAGAGGAGTTTTCCGACACTTTCTTCAGTGCATATGATATCTCGAAATGGGTATTTTATTATTTTATTATGCATTTTTGGTGTGTCGCCTGGTGGTTCCTTTGTGAATACACTACTGAAAAATGTAGCCAAAACATCTGCTTTATCCTTGTCTTGTGTGGCAATTTTTGATATGTTATCATCTAGTCCCTTCAAGTCCGAAATTCCTGTTTTTACTTTTCGTTTGGAGTTGATATATTTCCAGAATTGTTTGGGGTTTTCCTTAACCTTTCCGGCGATCTCTCTTTTCATTTCACGACGTGCTTTTCTTGGCATACTTTTTACTTGATTTCTTAACTTTGTGTAGTCCTTGTATTTGGCTTCTGTTCTTGTTTCCATATATCTTTGCCATGCCCTATGTTTTTTGTTAATCTTAATTCTCACAGCATCGTTCAGCGGAAGATGATTTTTGTCCTTAGATTTACGTTGTTTGTTTTCTTTTCTTACTGGGATATTTTTGTCAGCGCTCTCTTGGAAGATACCTGTGAATGTAGTGTACATTGTGTCCGGATCAACTTTCAAAACTTCGTCCCATTTGATCTCCTCCAATTCGTTTTTTATCCTTTCATAGTCTCCTTTGTTGTACAAAATACGGGATATAGAACTTTCTGGATAATTTTTGTAACATATATAATCAAACTTCATAACAAAGTGATCGCTGTGACCAAGGGGACTTTGGTAGTTGATATCTTTCACCATCTCATCCTCGTTTGTTATTATCAGGTCCAAAATACTTGGTTCATGACCTTTCCTCATTCTTGTAAAATTTCTGGTATGTTGCGTGAGAAAATTATCCCTTAGGCATTCTATGAAGTTACCGCTTTCTTCATCATTCTTCGCCGAGATTAAATTCCAATCAATTTTTGGCAAATTAAAGTCTCCCATTATTAGTTTATGTGAATATTCATTATTTAGTGTAGATATTGAGTTGATAAGTTTATAAAGTTCTTCAACATTTTCTTTCTTACTATTGGGGCTTTTATATACACACCCAATCAGAAGACAGTCTTTCTCGTTTAGCTTGACTTTTACCCAAATGCTTTCCTTGAATGATGTGTTCATGTTTACCTCTACCCCCTTAAGTTCTTCTTTGACATAAATTGCAACCCCCCCGTGATGTTCGTGAAAAGATTCTTTTTCACTTCAGGTGATCCACACGATACCAGTATAGGTCTTCCAGATTTTGGTGCATTGCAGACAGCATTGTTCGGTTGTACCTTTTGGTACTTTCCTAGTCGAAATACCTTATTAATTGTAGCATCGTTTGTTCGGACACTACATGAAGTTAGAAGCTGTTTTACGAATAGCTCATCAGCTGCTTGGCGGGATTTTCCATCTCTTCCTTCCTGTTCTGTATAGCCGTAAATAATGATATACATCATAACATTGACTCTAGCCTGTCCTACATCATAACATTAACTCTAGCCTGTCCCACATCATAACATTGACTCTAGGCTGTCCTACAACATAACATTGACTCTACCTGCCCTACCTACATCATAACATTGACTCTAGCCTGTCCTACATCATAGCATTGACTCTAGCCTGTCCCACATCATAACATTAACTTTAGTCTGTCCCACATCATAACATTGACTCTAGCCTGTCCTACATCATAACATTAACTCTAGCCTGTCCCACATCATAACATTGACTCTAGCCTGTCCTACATCATAGCATTGACTCTAGCCTGTCCCACATCATAACATTAACTTTAGTCTGTCCCACATCATAACATTGACTCTAGCCTGTCCTACATCATAACATTAACTCTAGCCTGTCCCACATCATAACATTGACTCTAGCCTGTCCTACAACATAGCATTGACTCTAGCCTGTCCTACAACATAGCATTGACTCTAGCCTGTCCTACAACATAACATTGACTCTAGCCTGTCCTACAACATAACATTGACTCTAGGCTGTCCTACAACATAACATTGACTCTACCTGCCCTACATCATAACATTGACTCTAGCCTGTCCTACATCATAACATTGACTCTAGCCTGTCCCACATCATAACATTAACTTTAGTCTGTCCCACATCATAACATTGACTCTAGCCTGTCCTACATCATAACATTGACTCTAGCCTGTCCTACATCATCACACTGACTCTAGCCTGTCCTACATCATAACATTGACTCTAGCCAGTCCTACCTACATCACAACATTGACTCTAGCCTGTCCTACATCATAACATTGACACTAGCCTGTCCTACATCATCACACTGACTCTAGCCTGTCCTACATCATAACATTGACTCTAGCCAGTGTACCTACAACATAACATTGACTCTAGCCTGTCCCACGTCATAACATTGACTCTAGCCTGTCCCACATCATCACACTGACTCTAGCCTGTCCTACATCATAACATTGACTGTAGCCAGTCCTACCTACAACATAACATTGACTCTAGCCTGTCCCATGTCATAACATGACTCTAGCCTGTCCCACATCATCACACTGACTCTAGGCTCTTCAACTTATATGCAAGTCTGAGTTTGCTCCTAGAAGAATCGGAATGTCACTTCGGAGTTTATTATTGGTTATATATATCATAACGTTTAAAATATGTCCTGTCTATAGCTCGCACACGGTATCATATGCATTTTCCTTCAGTTATTGGAGTTCTATATATTATACCATTTACTTCTGATATTGTACAGAAAAGAGACGTGATTAAATCTATCATCTTCTTAATTGTATTTCCAACAATTCATGACCATCGACTGTTATTTTCTCCTTATTATGATCACTTATGTGTGCGTGATCCAAAATGTTATTTCTGGTGAGTGTGCCTTAGTCCTTCCCTTACTGTACTGTACTTGTGAATTAAGAAAAGGTTGGTGGTATTTTGAATGATATTTGTGTTGTTTTACCATCGACTCGTATATGCCATGCTTAATTACACGATTCTTTAGATATATATGACGCATGTACAGTAGCTTTATCGAAAAGTCATTTTCGAAGTAACAAATCTTGTTTAAGTAAAATATTACTGTTGCTACTCTTCTTCTGAATTGTTACTGCATCATAATTTTCTTTTTTCTGTTTTGAAGTTATCATACACCATCTATCCTTGTTAATGTGATGGAATATTTAACAAATATAAATTAAATATATTGGACATAATCTCTAGAGTTTTTCCTTTTTTTTTCTGTGTGAAGGAAAGAGGACCTTTAAACCACACCTCAATAGCCCTGAAACACTTGAGTCCAGATTTTCGGCCAGTAACATGCTTGGATGAATTGGGTTTTCAGGCTTTCAGATTAACTGAAAATTTACATATTTTTCATTGAATAAGGAATTGATAGGATTGGTCCATTTTTTAGGGTCATATTAGAAATGTCATATTGAAATTTCTTAAATAATGACTTTTAATCTTCCAATTATCAGGAGGAAAAAGTGGATCTGCTAGAAATTCAGAAAAGATAGCCTATATCTAGCCGTCAGACTTTGAGGTAAGACTATGAATTGTCATACCCACATACCTGTACATCAAGGTTTATAAAAAGGTAAAAATAATACAGAGTTTAAGATATAACCAATGATGATTAGTGTTACTTGATGTGTGAAAAATCCCAGGCGTGTTGATCAGAATACTGTAAATGTTGACGACACACCCACTGTCACTAGAAGTGTTACTGGTGCGTTGTACAATATTCTCTAAGTGCAAGGATACTCACAAAAACTGTTCTAAGTCTGTATGGGTCATTTTGAAGCAATGACAAGGCCTCCTTTTGTAAGTTCGTGGTTTCCTCTTTGAATACCATGTGGAGGCCCATCATATACCATCTAGAACAGTTGGGACAAAAAAAATGGTCTTGCTCTAAAACAAAAGCACGCCAGCACAGACTGGTTAAATGCCTTTGGAAGTTAGAATTCGGTTACAAAAGGGGCCAAGTGGCATTTACGTAAGAAATTCGAGAATTGTCCAAACATTGTATTTCTCAATAAATACCGATAACAAACTTTCATTTTCAAAATCCAATATGGCCGCCTGTGAGCCATTTTGGTTATCTAATCAAACCCGAAATCAAATGCAGACAAGACTTATAGAGAACAACAGGAACCTTCATATGAGATTTGAGAAAGATCCATCTGGTACTTCAGGGCTCTCGATCTGTCAGATTTGGGGCCGAATTTCCCAATGCAAAATAGTATCTTTTTTCCCAATTTAGACCCGAAGTTTTCCCAATTCTAAGGAAAACACCATTATTTTTCCCAATTCTAAGGGTCCCGGGCCCCAGTCCCAAAATGGGGTGTGAGAGCCCTGTACTTCTTTGCGAAGTCTAGCAGAGAGGACGAGACAACTGCAGTCACCCCAGCCTACATATCATACTCCGCCAGTTTTGTCATAATATGCCTGTACATAGTAGTAAAATCAAAGTCATTTTTACGTTTTATTCTCGGCAAAATGCGATATGTGGCTCCGGTTTCCCCGACTATCCCTATATTTTGCTACCGACCCATTTTTTCAACATTTTGGCTAAATGTTTACTCTAAAATATCCATGTTGATTTTATTAATGTTCTATTTCCCAGACAGGCCACTACACGGACGCAAATTCACTTTCATTGTTTGTAAAGAACGATGTCTCTCTATACCTTTCTGGGAAGAAGTCAGTCGATAGAGCCATAGTTCAGACTTGTTATAAAACGACTTCATATTTGTAATGTTGTCAGTTTACATCGAATAAATATATATTTTGTCTGATTCCACTTCCCCGTAGACATATAATATTGAAATTCAGATAAAATGTGGAGACCAAAACCAAATTTGTGAATTTGTTTATTGTTGTTATAATAAACTCAACAGAAATGGGATACCATAGCGCCAGCACACAAAGACACAATGAATGGAAAATCCAAAGCGGACATCGGACAAACACAATAAAGAAAAAAAATGCAAAACGTTATTAACATTCCCAATACCAAATAGCTAAATCAGGAGTTTCGGACAAGTATGCATTGCCTTGACAGACACTGACCAAATGTATGATGTATATACCCGTAACAAATTTAGACAGGATGGGTCTATATATTAGCCACTTCGTCTGTCCATATGTCCTGAAGAAAATCAAACAACATAGATGTTCGGACAGATTGTGATATTAAGTATGATAAACAGGTCGCCATACATAATTGCCACAGGTATACATTCATACCTGATACATACATGTATGTATACACAATTCCTTTATAAATATGGCCATTATGCGGTACTTGGGAAATCAGCGATAAAAAAGCAAAAGTCATTTCAAAAATACACAAAATAATAATATAATATCTCTACCATCCGATCCTATTTTTTCTCAGGAAGAAACAGGAAACAGATTTTTTTTGGCCAAGGATGCTTTATTGCTATAAAAGATGTTTCAGCTTAGCGGACATTTTCACCGACTTAATTGTGATATACATGTCAGTGACATTATATTTGTACGATATAATTAATTCTCTGATCATTTGGTAAGTATCGGGCATCAGCGACAGTAGGGTGCTGTAATCATTAATACAGGTAATGGCGGTACAAACGAATTTTTTCTAAGTGGAATCCAGGAGAGAGAGAGGGGAGAATGACTTCAGAATAGTAAAGATAATGTCTGAAAAAAATTAGTGAGGATGATCAACTTGTTTGTTGTAACGCGCGTCATTGAAAATATCTGTAAAAAAATTCTGGTTTCAATTGTTTGGACATTACACGCTTAGGCGAGAATACCCGACATCTGATGGAATAGCCGAACAGCTGACTGCAATTTGGCGGGAACAATTGTCATACACAAGACGTAAGCAAATATAGTTCCACAATATAGCATCATTTATTTCAATTATTTCCTATCTAAATTTACAACATTTTTTTCCTTTTATCATAATACTTATATTTATTCAAAATATTTAATTTAATAAAGGTTTATTAAATGTTAGAACTTTGAAAAAAAAAATCACTGCGCATTGACATTAATTGCCAATGTATTCATACGCTTAAGGTTTATCGAAGTGTAAACGTCAATTTCGTTGGTAGGTCTATATAGAGGATACACACCGGAAATGTAAATATATGAGGATAATATGTAAAAATTTACTTATCAATTATAGCATAATACACGTGAATATTAGCATTAAATTATCATTATAGAGACAGAAAGTTTTGTCTACAGTTGAACTGTTGACATATTGTGTATTGGTTCTAGTCTGAGCGACCAAGTACAAATTCTTTACTCTTAACCAGTTCTGTAGGGTGAACGATTGTCAAAGACATTAAATAAAAAGACCAATAACCAGTGGAAACATATATATATTATCTAATTATAGGTCTCGCTGTGGAGTTTGCTGCTGAGGGTCAGTGAACGCATTTGTCAGTATATCCAAAACTCAACAACATGTGATCACCAAATTTCATCACTGTTCACCGTAGTGTGTGACTTTCTGCAGGATGCCAACAAGTCGACTTTTCAAACAACCGCGTTAACAAGATTTCACTTCCGGTGCACAGACAACCTCTGCCTGTGATATTAGCCAGCGACCTAAACTGGAGTTATAAAAAAATATATGACATCTGTCAATAATACAAATAAAATTTAAAGAAAGTTGATTGGCAATCTTGCTCCTTATTTGCCTTGTCTCGATTTGGACCTTTTCTCAGGACGAGCTGATTTTAATTTTTCTTTGGAGCGGTCTCTGTCACCATTTTTCTCAGTTTTTTGTCTCCGCGTATTTGACCTGACTCTTCTGCTTCCGGGTCGACTGTCAAACATTCCTCTTCCCGCTAGCCTGGCTGAAAAATATACATGAATATAAAAGTGTGTTTATATGATGTGTTCGAAAAGCGAGGTTACATAAGTATGTGGATTGTTTTGTTTTGTTGTTCGTAGCGGAACCAAGGAACGCCATTTCTGGGTTGTATATCGTGGCATTTAAGCAACTATCACCAATTAGATTAATTAGAGGTGGAGTATTCAAGTAAGTGGTTTGTGTTCATGAATATTCATGATGTTTACTGCCTATTTAGTAAAACAGTAACAAATATGAATACTGATTAAATAGCTTACCTGTAAAGTCATCGTTGATAGATTCTTCGTCATTCAGTAGCGGTATATAGGTGTCGGGGGTTCCTATCGTTTCTGTAAATAAATATAAAACCTTGTCACAACCACTTACTTAAGAAGGCGTAACACTAATGATATTTCCGAAACAAAATCTGCCAAGACATTCACCAAATAATAGTACCACTTCATGATAACAAAATGGGGGTCTGAACACTATGCTAACTGCAGTATTTCCACAAACATCCTTGCTACAACGACTTGGCTTTATCTTTAATTTCTGCGAGTTTTAAATTCTGTTAATCCAAACCTTCTATTCGGGTGTTTTAATGTATAAATCTTCACAAGGTATATGGGAATCAATTTTTCAAAACTATGACTTTGCGTACAGAGGGGTTGATATCTCTTTATGTTTCTCTGTGGGGAAAAGGAGACGGTGCATCTTATTCTCTAGAAAATAAAGATAAATATTTCTTGTCCCTCTGTACAATCAGCATGGAATTTTGAAGAAAACGTTGCTCTGGCCTTGATTGCTGCGATCTTCTGTATGTGCCAGAAAAGTGGGTATATATTATAGAGTATGACACTTGTCTTCTCAAATATACTGTAAATCATTTATTTTGAATGCTTGTACTGCTAAATTGTCAACAGGATCCATAATCTAAAATATCAATCTAGTCGACGATAGATCTCAAAGATCTCTTGTTAACGAGAGAGAGAGAGAGAGAGAGAGAGAGAGAGAGAGAGAGAGAGAGAGAGGTGGGGGGAGGGAGAGAGAGGCAGACAGACAGACAGATAGACAGACAGAGCTGTACACTGTATACATCCATGATTACGGTGTACACTAACTTACTATCATCCATCACAAGTACTAATGTCTCTCTCACACTAACTGTACTTACTGTCGACTCTCAGAAGGACTAATGTCTCCCTCTCCGTCAATATCTCATTAGCATATCTGTTCGGAACGTCTCTGAGAAATTTGATATTACCGGATTCATCGCAAAGTTCAATATCAACTGAAAGAAAAAGAAATTGTGAAGTAAGTAAACATTATCTGCAGGCAGTAGGAGAAATGAAAACTTGACAAGAGTTATCGGAATTGTAAATCAAATGATTATTTTTCTGTGTCGTTACTGGAGAGAGGTTCGCGTGAGTTGTGGTGACGAGGAGCTAGGATTACCTACAGTCAGTCTTACACCGGCATTTCTGTTTGATACTCCGTAATAGATTGCGGGCTCGACAGAACGGATTAAAGATTTCCTCCTCGCAGTCTGTAAAATAACATTGTAATATAATATTATAAAAAATGGGACACTTCATACTATAATAGTAGTAACAATAATAATAAAAGACATTGCTTTTTTGATAATGTCTGTGCGTCCTTCTGATTTATACCAGGACGCGCCTGCCCGTGTTCCTGTGCCGTTGTGTGTGATATTTCATGTTTCGCGTAGTAATACAAACAGGGAAATCTCGGAATGAGAATCCTGCTATGGGCATGTAAACAACCTTGTCAGTCTGTCATGTATCAGATTCACACGGACACGTTTTGGACACGTAATGGTTCGACTCACCAGTCAACTTAGTTACTTTAGGACTTGTGTTTTAGACGCAATGCGAATTATCAGGAGGAGTATTGATACCAGAAAACGTAAATAAGATCAAAAAGGCATCAACGACATATCAGAAGTAAACAGAATACTGTGTGTTTCTCGATGAATTAGTTTCTATCTGATGGGGAAAATAATTTTCATATATTTAGGCACAGAGTTTAATGTGAGCCGATATTACTATTTCTGTACCGCTAGAAACCATGTAGATTATGATTTTACCACGAAATAGACTGAACAAAATAATAATAAAAAAACAACTAGTGCTGTTGATATCGAAAGGAAACAGCAGATATTAGGCCTAGTGCTTCTACTGACCGTTTTGATGACATTGAATAGTTATTTCATGGAAAACTACTACCATGAAAAATAATATATAGAAGTTATGGGTGTGATTGTAGTTGCTCTCCACCTCCTGTAACAGATACTACGGAACCCTGTAATAACGAAACACCTCGAAAGATCTCCACAAATCTTGTATCAAAGTTTTCAAACGCAGAGGTTTAATCAGAAACCTATGTGAGTAAAAATGAAACATATCTGTATTCAATAACGCGAAGAAATCGACCAATTAATAAGCGTTTTCCTACTAGGAGTGTGCTACTTTAGAATTAACTTTTATACAGTCAAACTTCGGTATTTCGAACTTCGAGGGACCAAGTCAAAAAGTCCGATATAGCGGGACTTCGATATGTGAATATTGATTTAAATTTCATAGAATGAAAATTTTACTCGGGTGTATATATGCATTATGCATTACATATACATGTTTAAAATCCATGTCCTTTGCCGATGTTTGAGATATATGTATTTGAATTATCATTTAGTGTACCGATTATATATTTCTCTACAAGATATTGTTTGATCTGATTCCTTTTTAGTTGCGATATTTATTCTTCATCCCTTTCATTCATTCCCATGGTCCGAGAAGCTACAGTTTTTAGTCCACAATTCTTGATGGGAACCAAGCTTTAAATTTGGTAACTGGTATTGTAACAATGCTTTTGGGACTGTTAGAAAAGTGTTCTGCTTTCCAGATATATAGATGTTGGTTTCAGGAATTAAACTTGCTCAAGAGAAGAAAGAAACTAGTTATCATTCTCATCAACATTGATGCGGAGATTTAGAAACAAAGTATGGTTGGTTGCTGTAAATATAAAATAAGAAACGACCTGAATAATTATCTATTGTTTTATTCATACAATATCGCCAACACAGATGTTGAACGTCAGATAAAAGCTTGTTTGGACGCATTTCTTTGTATAAATATACACTGTTTTGTCCCTTTGTTATATACTATGATACTTGCAGATTCTCATTCTGAACTTACATTTGTCAGCTTTTCTGTGAATTCCTTTAAAAACTTTTAAGAAGTACATGATTTATATATAACACATTAAACAGAATATTTTCTTTATAAGACAGTTATGACTGATGCACTATATTGCTTGTATTAAAAACCAAATGATATTCCCTTATGCTTGAACAGTGTCCTCTTTATGTTGTCCAACTTCACTCATGGCACAGGTCATTACTTCTCATTGGCGGTTTGGTGTTATTTCTTTCATTCTGGTCAAATATACTGGTGTTGGCATGCACTGGTTGATGGCTGCTTTGGATGTCGGTGAAGACCTTTCTATCTTTACACTGCTGTCGGAGGTGGAATGTTAAGTCTTCTGCAAAATTAAATAACATTCAATTTAGTTCAATGACATTGAATAAGACGGAACATATAAACTTCTATAGAATTGTATTATGCACTTGAAAAAGATGTTTGGGCTTCAGACAATCGCTTTAAAAATCTGAAAACAAAATTTAGAGTAGAAGTAATTTGAGAACTATGGCAGTCTTCTACCTAATATTCCAGCACATCATGCTTGCGTCCAACAGTTTCTATGCAAGAAAATATTAATGCCACACTGGTTAATTAATTGTCAAACTTAAGACATATTTTGTCCATCAATATTGCTGTAGTTGTATGTATTTAGACCATAAAGTTACTTTGGGCAACAATCCTAAATAAACTGTTAATTACTGTCACATCTTTCAATGCTCTTATTGCGACCTAGCTTGATACCGCTTTATCAGACAATATTTAATAACAGAAGAGAGTGTTTATAAAACGATACAGACTTATTATATACACAACAGTGGCTAAATGAAGCAAACAAGTCGAAGGTTATGAAGTAAGTTTTCAATATTAAGGATGACCAGGTGTTCCGAAGAGTAAGCGTCTCCTTCTTCATTGACGACACGCGCCATGTAATGTCACGTTCTCAAACAGGAACAAAGTTTTCAACTGAACCAATACGTGTCTTCATATCGCGCAAAGATACTTTCCCATAGTGTTTTCATCAACTTGCATCTTTTGAAAAAAAAATTCACAAAAATCGAGATAATGGGAACAGGTCCTTGACATCGATCAACTGCGACTTGTTAACACCGTAAGCTGAGGATGCAGGGATATTGCTATCCGGAAATGGAAAATTCGCAATAAAGAAATTAAAAACATCACGTTTATCATACAGCTTGGTGGAAAGCTGTCCATGTTGGCTTCGTTGTTGGAAAAAAATGTGATAAGTAGCTGTAGGAGTGTTTGTCGTGTCTTTGATTTTCAATTTTTGTTGGTATATACGATGGACGTGGTCAATAAATTTCTTGTAATTCTAAGACAAGATGTCATCAATATATCATTGAAGATAGTACTACACTTGCACTCTGTGTAGTTTAGCATTGTCATTCATTAGAGGACGGTTGTCTGCCTTGAAATGAGGAACAAATATATCATTTGGATATCATCAACGTATTTCTATCCATTGAAAGTTCCATCAAGGGCTTGCAAAAGCAGCTTACACTTTAGAGAAAAGCACCCCAAACAGTAACACGGCCACCACGTACTTCTCGGTCTCCAAACACGTTCCCTGCCGTCCGTGGAACTAAAAAAACCAAACCTGTGGCTTCTTCGCTAGAATCTTATATCCCATGTCCGGTGGTCACGTGCCAATCTTTCTTGTTTGTGCTCTCCAGTTAACAGAGGACGTTTTGCTGGTTGGCGGGAGCGATGTCGCCTTTTGTTTAAACGTCTGTTTACAGAAAGCCGGCTAACGCGAACTTTGACGTTTCACTGTACTCTGTGTCTGTCGGCAACGGTGAATGGGGCTCGACTTGTCTGTCTACACAGAAGTCTTTATTATCTAAGTGAAGCCTCTAGAGGACTTCAAGACCTTGGACTCTCGTAAACATGCTCAGTTTTGTTCCAAAGTTGCATTATCAATGAAATCACACAATGGCTGACATCAAAACTTCCAACTACTTGCCTGTCAGCCAAACCACCTTTAACCATGCCCGCAGCTTGCTATCTTTAAGCATTTGTCAATTTTCGAACCATCTTTAAATACAGCATGATCACATGTATGATTTAGCAGTAATACACATACCAACGCTGGTACCCCCTTTTGTTTCGCGTGGTCGTTAAGTCGGATGTATCACTTGGTGACATACGGCACCAAACAAAAAAGTAGACACTGCAAGAGTGCGACAAGGTCTATATTTTGCAAGAGTAAAAATAAATTTCTATTAAAATTTTCATTACTGAATGGAATGCTCCTTAAATTATGGCCAACTGTGTTTAACGGGAGCTGGAATTAAAAAGGAAAGACAATGCCGTATAACACAGCTCAGGTGATTAATTAACTGTAATGACATTTTACCTTAGAAAGATTACGTTTTTAAGAAGGTAAAAAAGTACACATTTTCCAAACAAGTATATCCACAAATTATCTACATACTTACTTGTAATACTGCTAAATGATGATATATTTTAAAACTAAATGGTCATGCGCCACGATTCACCAGCTCCTCGGTCATCATGGGTCAGCATCAGTTCAAATACGAAAATACCCGGTTGCGTTCGTGTCGGCCATTTGTATCCGATAATTGTCGATTTACTACACAGAATGGAATAATAGCCTGGCGATATCATTCAGTGCCTAGTATTGGCTTGTAACGTCTGTTTAGGTCATCGTTATTTTATATGTTCATTTCATGCATCAGTAATTTGCAATGCTTTGAATGATATATGTTGGTACCCGGAAGCTGCATATGTGATGAGTCGACGCGAGAGCTAGGTTACAGATAGACAAAATAAAGACTTACAGATATCTAACATTAGGAGATTACTTTCGAGGTGGCTAAAAAAACTTGGTCAGTTTCTATTTCAAAGACGATCTCTCTGTATGCCACACAGAATTTTAACAGTGGAAGAATTTAAATCAACACGTCAAAAGGTCAACAGTATGTAAATTTTGTATGTCAAGGGTCACGTTCCTCATTAATGTCTTGTAGAGCAAACAGCTCTGCGTTCTCACGACGAACTCTCTACACATATCATTACTACAAACTCCCCGCCTACTATAACAGGAAATTACTACGATCTCCCCTATATATACCACTATTACAAACTTCCCGCCTACTATAACAGGAAATTACTACGATCTCCCCCTATATATACCACTACTACAAACTTCCCGCCTACTATAACAAGAAATTACTACGATCTCCCCCTATATATACCACTATTACAAACTTCCCGCCTACTATAACAGGAAATTACTACGATCTCCCCCTATATATACCACTACTACAAACCCCCCGCCTACTAT